CTGTTCCAGCTGCATACCAGCAATGCCGCCCCATCAATCCAAGTTGACAACGGAGTCTTGAGGGCTGCTCAGATAGGATGATTTAGGTGCATAGCTAAGATGTTCAGAGTGTACACTCCTCCCTGCAAAAAAGTGATGCACAACTACTTATTTAAATTTTTTGTAGATACATGCATCAGACAGGCAGGCTTGGCTTTGTCTGATTTGGAACGGTGGCTAATCCAGTTTTATCCTTGAAAAATGTATGAACTTTGAGCCTTTTCCCTTAGAAAAGGCATTTTTATTTCAGCAGTCCTTTTGTCTGCAAATTTAGATTGTGCCGCCGCCCAATTTTACTGTTCTTTCTGTGTTAACGTCTAGACTGGCTTACAAAGCTGCTTGTAGTTAATTGATTATCTGTATTGTTTTCTTGTGACTACTTTTTAAACCTATGCTGGTCCCTGCTCTGAGTACACCAGCAGAAAAGCTAGACAGAAAATACTATTAATGAAATAATAATAATCAAGAGATGTAGCTCAGTTGGTAAAGCACAAGGCTCTTTATCTCCGGGTCATGAGTTTGAGCCCGACGTTGGGCAAAAGATTTCTGCATTGCAGGAATATATATAGGATGATCACCACTCATGAGTACATTAGTATGAAAGCAGGATCGAAATAATTTATTGCTGTTGATTTAAATCTTTGCTGGCAGCTGCTGTGGGCTATATCCAGGGCTTGTGCATTATTCAGAGTAGACCCGTTGAAATTAATGGACATGACTAATGGGCTTCAATGAATCAAATAAATAAATAATAATAACAATTTACGTCCTTTAATTTCAATGGATTTTCTTCTTCAAGTAGAACTTAGGTAACAACCCGCTAGGTTCATCAGTAGACAAGTAGGATGGAAATTGTTTATTATTATTATTATTATTATTATTATTATTATTATTATTATTATTCTTTCATTCATTATAGCCTTGCAAATAAGTGTACAAAAGCTACTAGACTACAAGGAATATTACTGACCAGCTGACGGCTGGCAGAGGGTAGATGGAGTGCTCTGTCCCTCCTTCAGCAGCTGTCTGCATTTCTAGGCCAGACCCCCCAAGTGTCCCTATTTTCCAGGGCCATCCCTGATTTAGAGAAGCCATCCCGGTTTATCATTTGATCCTGGAATGTTCCACTATTCCTTAGGATGTCCCTGTTTTCATTGGAGAAATTTTGGAGTTATCCGACCCCCGAGCCGTCTGAAGGCAATCCTGTATAGGGAAGGTTTTTTTAAAAAAATGTTTAATGTTATTATGTTTTATTATGTTGGAAGCTGCCCAGAGTGGATGGGGCAACCCAGTAAGATGTGTGGGGTATAAATAGTAAAATTATCATTATGAAACCAAACGTCCCTGTTTTCATCGGAGAAATGTTGGAGGGTATGCTAAGCTGGATACACAGGGGCTTTCCTACACCCATTTAGTTTCTATGCTTACTACAGGGAAGTATGGAGCAACTTGACCAAACTTCCCTTGCTCTCTCACTCACTCATCCCAATAGAATTCTGTTTGTGATTCCTCCTCGCCTATGGCTACCAGGCAAGGCCTTAACACAGAAGGCATTATTACTGACCAGCCTTCCTAGAGTTTGATATCCAGCAGGGATGGAGTCATGTGACATGCTTCTCAGCTGGGGTTGGCCGTTCACCACATCGTGAACATAAAGCCCTGCTCCTCTCCCCGCCATGGCGCCACCCAACCATCCCAACTTTGGGCGTTGGCTTTTGCCTGATGCAATGGGTTTGATGCCACTCCAGTGAGTCATCAATCGCACATCCTGGAGGGTTTGGGTATTTATTTATTTTTAGGGATCCCATCAAAGGAGGACCCGGGGGGATGGACCCAGCTTGCCAGCATGGAATGTCCCTCCTCTGTTGACATTCGAGGGTTCAGAAGTGGTTGAGAAATGACCGCGTAGAGCCAAATTCAGCAGCTGGATGACTTTAAAATGCAGCCACCTGGAATGTCCACAAGGCCCCCGCTGCAGTGCTCTCTGTGATCCGCCAGTCCAACTCAGAGGAAGTGCCATTTTGGCACCTGGCAATGGTGAGAAAGCCGCATCTCTGAGTGTGGCTGAATGAATATCCTTCAACAATCAGAGGGCCTTTCCTTCTGCCTTGGCCGCTTGCCTTTCTGCTTGGCTTTGCAGTCTAGTTGAAATAACTAAAGGGCATTCTGTGTTTAGAAAGGAAGGTTGCCCTCCATGAAGCTGGACAATAGGTAACTTTCTGTGGGTAAGGTGACCAAAATAAGGGACCCACAGCATCTTGATTCTGATGGAGGACAGCCGTCTGGGAAGCTTGCAATGCTGGGGGATGAATTTTGAAATTTCACGTTTAATAAACTTTGAGAGGTGAAATCAGACATTTTAGTGAAGCGTCTTCCTATTTATTTTGCATGTTCCGATAGGTGGAGTATGGGCATTGTGCCTTGGCATTCAACAGACATTCCAGAGCTGATGTCTTAGGCTCTCTTGCCTGCTCACAGGAAGTCCTAACCCTACATTAAAAAGAGCCTTTTTGGTAAATATGTAGAAAGTGTTCCATGCTCTGATTTTTATTTTTATTTTTAAGTGCAGGCTGTTTCTCCCGTAGGATTGAGTAGATATCTCTCTGTTCATTTTAATGCATTGCATTTATGCATTGCCTTCTAGGAAACACCTCAAAGCAATTTAACAACAAAAAACAATTTCATAAAATAATAATAATAAAAGATTGCAAATCCAATAGGAACACAGACTGGGATTTTTAAAAGCCCACACACCTCCATTTAAAGCGCATGTTGAAAAAGAAAGGTCTTTCATAGCTGCCCAAAAGTCAAACAAGTGCAAATATATTGTAGAGAGATATAACTTACTACTGAGATTGGGCTTTTTGTGATCATGAAAGTGGCAGGAAGATACATTGGAAAGTGTGGGACACTTGCTTTGCTGCAATGACATTTAGCCTCCCCTAAACAACTCTGAGTGAATGCTCATTAAATCATGAACATCGTCTAATCTCCAAGGAAACAAGTTGGGAAAACAAGCAGGTTTTCTGGAATAACTCCTAGACACCTAAGATCAGAGGGAGGGAGACAAACACCCATTCAGGTATTTCCTAGCCATTTTGCCAGTAATCTCCCTAACCAAGAAATAAATAAAATAAAAAGGTGCTAGCCAGCTTTGCCAGGGTCTATTGAAGAAGCCTCACAGTCATTCTGGCTCCACAAATCTTCCTATCCCCAAATCACAAACCTTGCAACATGTGTATTTCTGTTTCCTCCTTGTCTCTCTCCTCAAAGGGACGCTTCAGAGCGTGCCGAGATGCAATAAACCTGGGATATCATAATCTAAACTAGCACCATAAAACACAACAATAAAATTTTTTGGGGGTCCCCAAAAATTTTAAAGGGAAAAAAAACCTGGATGTACATTTCCAGAATATAAGATAAAACAAATAAAATAAAACCTACATACTGTACAGCAACAGTGTTTTGTGTTGTGTAGGCTCCTATGATGTAAGTAATGGGCCCCGCCTGCTAGCCTAGTCCCTAAAATATCACTGGTTTGCTCATTTCTATATATAGGGTGAGGGACGCGGGTGGCGCTGTGGGTTAAACCACAGAGCCTAGGACCTGCCGATTGAAAGGTCGGCGGTTCGAATCCCTGCGGCGGGGTGAGCTCCCGTCGTTTGGTCCCAGCTCCTGCCTACCTAGCAGTTCGAAAGCACCCTTAAGTGCAAGTAGATAAATAGGTACCGCTTTATAGCGGGAAGGTAAACGGCATTTCCATGTGTGGCGCTGGTGCTGGCTCGCCAGATGCAGCTTAGTCACGTTGGCCACGTGACCCGGAAGTGTCTTCGGACAGCGCCGGCTCCCGGCCTCTTGAGCGAGATGAGCGCGCAACCCCAGAGTCGGTCACGACTGGCCCTGATGAGCAGGGGTACCTTTACCTTTTTATATATAGGGTGCCTACATTATGCATGGACTGTTATGTGCAAATGGCTTTAGATACCTATTAGGTCCATAAATTACCATACAGCATATATTCAACACAAAAAACAGCGGCAATTTGTTGTTGACAAAGGACAGCTGGACATATAAAGGGCCCCATTACCTTCAGTAGCTTAGGGCCTCATCATACCTAAATCCAGCCCTGATAGTGGCCTTTGTGAAACCTAATACAGTGGTACCTCAGGTTAAGAACTTAATTCATTCTGGAGGTCCGTTCTTAACCTGAAACTGTTCTTAACCTGAGGTACCACTTGAGCTAATGGGGCCTCCCGCTGCCGCCACGCCGCCGCCACGCAATTTCTGTTCTCATCCTGAAGCAAAGTTCTTAACCCGAGGTACTATTTCTGGGTTAGCGGAGTCTGTAACCTGAAGTGCCTGTAACCTGAAGCGTCTGTAACCCGCGGTCCCACTGTAGTGATGTTTTCTGCAACCTGTAGGATGCAGTCGCAGAGGATGCTCATGAAGCAGAGGGCTATTGGTGGCTTCTAGCTGGGATGGCTCCACTCGGCCTCCACAGGTGGAGGCAGCTATGCTTCTGAAAGTCTGTTGTTGGAAACCACGGGAGGGGAAAGTGGTCTTGCACTCGGGTGCTGCTTGAAGCTTTCCCTCAGGCCTCTGGGTGGCCACAGTGAGAGTCGGATGCTGGACTTGACGGGCCATTGGACTGGTGCATCAGGGCTCTTCTGAGGTCCTGAGGTTCAACCTACAAGCCCTTGCAAAAATAGCGCTTCTGTCTCATAACGGCCTTTCAGAATGTGCTTAATAGACCTCCCAATGCCTCTGGGAGCCAGCGATGAAACACAGGGCATTTATTGCATAAGATAATCCCAGGATTCCTCTCGGTTCTGAATAATGGTGCACCAGCCATGGAGAAGGAGAGAAATTATGATTCATATAGAAGGGGCCATTATGACACACAAGTGCTATTTCTGTGATGGGCGGGGAAGCCACCGGAAGTTGCCGTCTTGGCTTGTCCTGGAAAGATTGAGAGTTTCAGCCCCTGGATGAGAGGAGTTCCCTGGAATGAAAGCACAGATGTAATAAGATCTAACCAGCTCCTCCGCTGAGTTTGTGAGAGCCAGTTACAGTACTTGCCAGGGTGATCCCACTACAGAGGGCTGGGCATTCAGAAATGGATCCAGAAGAGAACAAGCTTTGGGCTATGCTTTGAAGGAAGAGAAGGAAGGAAACAGAAGTGAATTCAACAGATCAAAAACAAATGGAGGTCAGCTACCCACCAAGAGGTATAGTGCCATGGCCATTTTGGGTGGCCGGATTTGAGCATCATGAAATGGTGTCACTGATTTATACTTACAGATTTCCCCCCTGACCAAATGTATGTATCTGTTTATTTACTGGCTGCCCCATGGCATAAATTCTCTGGGCAGCTTATGAAATGCTGGTGGTGGGAGATTGTAAAAAAGGCAGGGCTTCTTAGGAGGATAGGCAGGGTTTAAGAAGAAGAATTATTTCAGAAGGTGTGGCTTACTGGAAATTTCACTTTGCCACCCTTTCCAAAATAAATGGGAATGCCACTACCCATTGATATCAGGACATGCACTTTCGCTGTATTTCCCCCCAGCACTTCCTAAAACTGTTTTTGTTTAGGCAAGACTCATCCCCAGACATGCAATTTTGTTGTGCATATTTTGTGCTAAGAACTGTGCAGTCACGGGGGTGGGTACAATTCTTGTTTGTGTAAACAGCAGTTTATTTTTTGTTTGTCTATGTATTTCTATGTTTTTTATTTTGCTTTTTTTTTGCTTTTTGTATTTATAAAACTCAATAAAAAAAGAATTGCTGATTTTTCGTACGCTTTGATACATTTCATCTCTGTTTGTTTTTATAAAGTTGCAGGTTACTGGCATTTTCAAATAAATATTTTATATTTTATGTAAACCACTTAGAAGTGGAGGACTTGAATCTCCAGGTGGGCACTATAGATAAGGCACACTTGCCCACCTGCCAGCAAATCACAGCATAGATACAGTACTCTGCAAGGTCTGCCCTCCTCCCCTCTCCCAATTAACCTCCATCTCCAGGACACACTCCCGTGACATCTCCAAGGGCTGCCCCTCTGTTTCATGTTTGGCTCTTGAGATCTCAGGGTCTTGGATGATCTTGATCTGAAAACCCTGAACAGCAGATCTCTGAATTTCAAAATCAGGAGTGAAGTTTTGCATGACCCCAAAACAAAGCAGCATCACCTGCTAATGTCTCCAGGTCACGCAAGGTCCAGAACCATGACAGCCATCCTAACCACACACACACACACACACACCCCGTGGATTGCTTGGAAATTTCTGGGGATCTTAGTCGAACTTTAGAACTTTCTTCTTCTTTTTTTGATAACTACAGTGGTACCTCGGGTTGAGTACTTAATTCGTTGCGGAGGTCCGTACTTAACCTGAAACTGTTCTTAACCTGAAGCACCACTTTAGCTAATGGGGCCTCCTGCTGCTGCCGCGCCTCCGCTTCGCAATTTCTGTTCTAATCCTGAAGCAAAGTTCTTAACCTGAAGCACTATTTCTGGGTTAGCGGAGTCTGTAACCTGAAGCGTATGTAACCTGAAGCGTATGTAACCCGAGGTACCACTGTATATAGTCTTCCCCTTAACTGATAATTTGTTTGGGGGAAAGACTGCACAAGCAAGCTATTATGAAAATAATATCTAGGCCTATGTAGACAAGTCTATCCAGACATGAAGTTGGCAGGTTTGCAATCTAATTTGATGCAGGTTTAGGCTGTGAATTAGGAGGTCTAGCCAACTTCTGAAAAGCTCAAATTGTGAGATTTAGGTCAACCTCACAAACAATTCTTTTAAAAACAAGAAACCCGCAAGCACGTATGATTGCTATTTTTAGTCGAAAAGAGGGAGGGAAAAAGAAGAACTAAATTTGCCCAGATTTCCTGCCTCCTTGCCTAGTGGTGATTCTTCCCATGCAACGTGAGGTCTCCAAGTGATAAGATACCCATTTGATTTCAGTTTATCTTGCCGCCTGCAGGTTTCATGGGTGCCAGATACGTACTGGCGACAACATTCGTGATCTTCATGCCGCCATGCTTTTAAGACAGGATCAGTAGATTTAGATCTTGGTGAGTTTGCAACATTTGCAAAAAAAAATTACTCTGCAAATGCTTGCTTCAGCTGTCAGATTTCAATACTCGGAGATTCTAGGCAAATCTGATCTGTGTTTTGCAATTTTATCTCAATGTGCAAATGAACTTGAGACAGGAAAGAGTGACATTTTGCACCTTTGAAGGTGACTCGGAAACTTAAACTAATGGAGAAAGCGGTTGCTAGACTGGTGGCTGGGAGCAGCCGCTGGTCCTGAAAGATCTACATCAGCCCCCAGTATGTTTCCAAACACAATTCAAAGAGCTGGTGTTGACTTTTAAGGCCCTAAATGGCTTCGGCCCTGTATACCTGAAGGAGCATCTCATACCTTCCAACATTTCTCCGATGAAAATAGTGACGTCCCATTCCATAATGATAATTTTACTGTTTATACCCCACACATCTTACACCAACCACTCTGGGCAGCTTCCAACATATATAAAAACATAATAAAACATTTGTCAGAGCTGGCTCCAGGTCCCAGCTCACAGAGGACCAACGCTAGCCGGCAGTAATGTGCAAAAGTCTTTATTGAAGTACAGTTTCCATTTTCAAGCCGGAGCGCCCCAGCTCTACGTCTAGGGGTTAGATCGGCGAAGCTCCATCTGAGTCTCCGCCCCTGTACACCAGTTTAAGATTCTAGCCTTACTCCACCTCTTACGTCTCTCCTTTCTCCTCTGGGTCCTGCTACCCCCCGGGGTCCCTTCCTTCCTGGATTCTTCTGACGCTGACCCTCCTGACTCCTCCCCCTCTTTTCGGCGGGCTTTGGGACCTGGCTCCCTATCCGGGCTGCCAACTGCGCCGCCCTCCTGTACATTTGAACTTGGCGCGCGCGCCCAGCCTTCAACCTTCCTCTCGACCGTTTCCTCGCTCCCCGATGGAGGCGTGGCCAATCCTGACTCATGTCCTCCCACTGGCAGTGCGCCGCCTGATCCCGATGCCTGGGACTCCTCCCCCCCTACTGCACTCTGGTGTGGACGCTGGTCCTGATTTCCAACTGCTGCTCTCTGAGTCCCCTCTGGCCCCTTCTTCCTGGGGTGTCCCCTCGGCACCCCCTTGCTCTGACCAAGGGAGCCCCTTTCTGTGAATCTTCCGATTCGCTGGAAAGACTCAGAGACCTCGGACTGCTGTCATCGCTAACATTTCCTTCGGACTCCTCCCCGTCGCTCTCTATTTCCTCCCTTTCCTGTGCCTCTGCTCCTGAACCCCTGACATCCATCCCCCCCTCGAAGCCCCCCCATCCCCCCACCCCACCTTCAGGTGTGGGTACTGGGTGCTCCGTCGTTGTGGGGGTGAGTGCCGGATACAGTTCGTCCCCCGTGGCGTGCATCCAGCCGGATAAGTCCGGCTCGTCCTCCGTGCTCTCGCCGACCTCAATTTCCTCTGCTTCCATCTCTTTGCCGCCGTGCTCGAGCCCAAGGTCCTCCCCCAACACGTCCATGTCCGTCTCTCCCCGGTCTCCTCCGGGGACGTTGCCTGCCAAGGACCCCCGAACCACTTCCTGCGCCACTGCTCCTCTGGTTGATTGTCCCACCAATAGGAACGGTCTGAGGCAGACCCGAGGGTGATCCCTCCGGGGAACGTGTTTCTAGTGCCGGTTCCTCGTCCGAGGTGAACCCCTGGAATGTGCTAGCTGAAAATGTGGGTGTGAAAAGCCAGTCGTCGAAATACTCGGCTGGCATGGGCCTGTGTGGGAAAAGGGCATGGAACTCGTCCTTAAGCCAAGATTCCTCCAGAGCATAATCTGGCACCCAACTGTTGGCGCTAGCCGAGGTACCTTCCTTGGCGAGGAGGTATTCCACTCCCTCCTCCCCCATCTCGAGTCTAAAATCTCTGTGACTTCGTTGACGGGTTCCCGCCTTGGCGACCCCCTTGTGGGCGTTTCCCTGAACGGGTCTGGTGCCGTTCCTGGCTCCTGAAATCTATGAGGTGCTTTGTAGGGCGTGAGCACTGATCTATGGAAAACTGGGTGCATTCTGGATCCCTCCGGCAGTGTCAACCGGAAGGCCACTGGATTGACCTGTGCCTCGACTTGGTAGGGTCCTAGCTGCTTATGCCCTAGCTTCTTCTTCGCTAACGATCTGGCCGGCACTGCCTGGGCTGCTAACCAAACCCAGTCTCCCACCTGTATGTCTTCCCCAACCCTTCTGTGCTTGTCAGCCTGCAGTTTGTATGCGTGCTTTGCTAGTTCTAACTGCCTCCGAAGCTGTTCGTGAACCTCCTGCAACTCTGATGCTAAGGCTTCCGCTGCCTGTGGCTCCCCCTCCCCCTCTCTCGCTAATCCCGGGAAGGTTCTGGGATGCCTCCCGTTGTTGGCGAAGAACGGTGTCACCCCCGTGGACACGTGCTTCGTGTTGTTGTAGGCGAACTCAGCGAGCGGCAGGTAGTCCACCCATGTTGCCGGCTGCTGATTTGCGTAGCATCGCAGGTACTGCTGCATGATGGCGTTGACTCGCTCCGCTTGTCCGTTCGTCTGCGGGTGTCTCGCCGACGCTAGGTTGATCTTGACGTTCAGGAAACCCATCAGCTTCTGCCAGAAGTTCGAGATGAACTGTCGCCCCGGTCGGACAGGATAGACCGTGGCAGACCGTGAACCCTGAACACGTGGTCTATGAACAGTTTGGCGGTCTGTTCCGCCGTGGCCACCTTCGCGCACGGAATGAAGTGGGCCATTTTGGTGAACATGTCCACCACCACTAGCACTGCCGTCTTGCCCCTCGAGCTGGGTAGATCCGTGACAAAGTCCAGGGCCACCCTCTCCCACGGTTCGATCGGTGTCTGCAGCGGTTCGAGCAGTCCCGCCGGCGGTTTGTGCACTGACTTGGCCCTTTGGCAGGTGTCACACCTCGAGACGTAATCCGCGACTTCCCCCCGCATCTTGGGCCACCAAAAATCTCTGGCTACTAATTCTACCGTCTTCTCTTTGCCAAAGTGCCCGGCGGTGGGTGCGTCGTGCAACTGCTGCAGTACTTTCGCGCGGAGGTCGTCTCCCGGTACGTAGAGGGCCCCTCTGCGGATGAGCAATCCGTCGCGTATCTGGAACTCGTCGTCCTCCGCCGTGCCCCTTTGCACCTCTGCCATCTTTGCTTGCGCGAAGGGGTCCTCCTGCAGTGCTCGACGTACAGCATCCAGGTCCACGGTTGCTGAAGCGCACGCCCACGCTTTCGGTGCGAAAATGTGCTTGGCCGCTGCTGGTGCCGCCTCCTCGAGGTATTGCGGCTTTCTGGACAGTGCATCCGCCATGATGTTGTTGTCGCCTGGGATGTACTCTATCCTGAAGTCGAAATCCGCAAAGAACTCCGCCCATCGTATGTGCCTCTGGTTCAGGAACCTTGCCGTGCGCCAGTACTCCAGGTTTTTATGGTCCGTGCGGACCTGCACTGTGTGTTTGGCTCCAATGAGGAAGTGCCGCCACGCCTTGAATGCTGCATGAATGGCCAGCAACTCCCTGTCCCAGATGGTGTAGTTCTGCTCTGACTTGCTGAGCTTCCTGGAGTAGAAGGCACACGGTCTCCAGTCCCCATGCGGGTCTTGCTGCAACAGTACTGCTCCCACGGCTCTGTCTGAGGCGTCCGTTTCAACCCTCATCGGTCTGCTGGGATTCACATGCAGTAGCTGCTCTTCGGACGAGAAGAGACGCTTGAGTTTCTGAAAGGACTGTTCCGCTTGCTCCGTCCAGATGAACTTCTTCTTCTTGGAGCTGAGTGTGTCGGTAATGGCTGCCGTCTGCATCGCGAACCCCTTGATGAACTTGCGGTAAAAGTTGGCGAAACCGACAAACCGTTGGACCTCCTTCCGATTGCGCGGGCTCTTCCAGTCCAACACTGAGCGAACCTTGGCGCTGTCCATGGCGAGCCCCTTGTCCGACAACTTGTAGCCCAGGAAATCTACTTCCTTCATGTCGAACTGGCACTTTTCCAGCTTGGCGTACAGCCTGTGCTCCTGCAGTCTCTGCAGAACTTCCTTGACGTCTCCCTCGTGGGCCTCCTCTGATTCTGAAAATATCAGGATGTCGTCCAGGAAGCAGACGCATTTCTTGTAGAGGAGACCCGCCAATACGTGATGCATGAAGGCTTGAAAACAGTGGGAGCCATTTTGTAATCCAAAGGGCATAACTCTGTATTCATAGGTGCCCAGGGGCGTGAACATGGCAGTCTTCCATTCGTCGCCCTCCCGTATGCGAATCAGGTTGTACGCCCCTCGCAGATCCAACTTTGTGAAAACGCGTCCTTTCCTCACCGTTGCGAGCAGGTCATCTATCTTGGGCATGGGAAAGGCTGTGGGCTTGGTTTTTGAGTTCAAAATTCTATAGTCCACCACAAGCCTTTTTTGGGGCGTGTCCTTCTTCTTCACAAAGAATACAGGACTGCCCCCCACTGCCTTCGACTCCCGGATGAAACCGCGCTTCAAGTTGAGGTCTATGAACTCCCTGAGTTCCTGCAGCTCGTCTTCGGACATGGAATACAGTTTCCCGGTTGGCAGCGTCGCCCCTGGCAGGAGGTCAATCTTGCAGTCATAAGACCTGTGGGGAGGTAGCTTGTCCGCTTCCTTCTCGCAGAAAACCTCCAAAAACGCTGCGTACTTGAGTGGCACTGCTTGCAGCGTGCCTAATTGTAGCTGCGGGTCATCCTCTTCCCCTTCCGGGCTAGGCAGAATGCAATGTTCCGCACAGTATGAGGAGCCGAAGGTCAGTTGTCGCTGGTACCACGCCAATGCTGGGCTGTGCCTGTGCAGCCAACTCATGCCTAATACTATAGGCGTGTCCGACAGTTGGGTGACATTGAAGCTGATGACTTCTCGGTGATTCCCAATTTGCATTAGCATCGGAGGCGTTTGCTGCACCACCTGCCCCCAGCAATTCCCTGCCATCCACCGTGACAACTTTCAGAGGCAGCGTGGCTGGCAGGAGTGCTATGTTGTGCTCTTGAAGGAAATCCAGTCCTATGAAGTCTGCGTTACTACCAGAGTCAATGGTAATCGGCACTTCCATAGTGAGTCCATTGGGTAGTTGGAGCGATGCTGTGAGCTGCACCACTGGTTTGGGCGGGAGGGGTCTGTGGGCTGCAAAATCTCTGGGGACGGCTTCATTGACTTGTCTGGTTGGGCCCCAGTGCCTCTTCCTCCAACCAGACTCTGTCGTTTCCCTGCTGTGTTTCTCTCTGCTGAGTTGCTTCTGTTACTGTTGCTGAGGCTGCAGTGTGCTTGTGGAGCCTCTGGGGACACTCTTTCGCCATGTGCTGAGCACTGTCGCAGATGTAGCACTTCCTGTTCCCTCTAGGAGGCTTCGCTTTGACTGCTCCCGGTGTTAAGGCTCTGGTTGTTGACTGAGCCCTGGCGCCTCCAATCTCCATCGGTTGCTCTCCCCATCCTTGCGGAGGTGGGGATTGCACACGCGCTGTATCCTTGGGAAAGAGGGGAGGTGCTCTCACTGGCGTACGTCCCCAACGTCCTTCTTCTCTGTTCCATGGACGTTCTTCCAGACGCACCCCAATTTGCAGCGCCCGCCGGACAACCTCCTGAGTGCTCTTTGGTCTCTCCCCCCTTGCAATCTCATCTTTCACATTTGCATTCAAGCCTTCCCAAAAAGGTCTCTGACTGGGGCAGAATCCTTCTCCCATCCCAGCGCGTGGACTAATGCAAAAAGCGGGAATGGTACTGCCTTACACTGGCTCTGCCTTGTTTGAGCCCATGTATGTCTTTTCTGGCGATATCAATGTCTATATTTGATAAAAAACACGAATCCATCGCTTTAATGAATGCATCCGCATTTTGGAGCGCCGGATCCTTATCTCTCCACAGATTGCGCAGCCACGCTTTAGCTTCCCCATGCAAATGGGACAAGATAAACCCCACCTTCTCTTGCTCATCTCTAAAGTCTTTATCCAGCAGTTCCAGCGCAAACAGCACGTCTGCTCGGAAGTTAGGGTACTGCTGCAAATTCCCATCGAAATGAGATACCAGGCTGCCTCCTCTTTTCCCCAGCCCAATCCCCTCTGATTTGGGTCCCGGTTGCCCCTGCTTAGCAAGCACTTCCAACCTGGCTTGGAGATCCCTGCAGGCGGCAGCCGCTTCCTCTTCCCTTTTCCTGGATGCGAGTACCTCCGCGTTGAGTTGTGTCACTGCATTTTGCAGGGCTGTTAGTTGCTGTTCTGTAGTCATCTTGCCTGACTTTTGTGAGCTCGCAAAGCACCAATCTTCTTCCCTCGCTGCGTCCACTCACGTTACGAGGTTTTTGGTGCAAAACTTTATGAGATGGAGCTTACTGTCAGAGCTGGCTCCAGGTCCCAGCTCACAGAGGACCAACGCTAGCCGGCAGTAATGTGCAAAAGTCTTTATTGAAGTACAGTTTCCATTTTCAAGCCGGAGCGCCCCAGCTCTACGTCTAGGGGTTAGATCGGCGAAGCTCCATCTGAGTCTCCGCCCCCTGTACACCAGTTTAAGATTCTAGCCTTACTCCACCTCTTACGTCTCTCCTTTCTCCTCTGGGTCCTGCTACCCCCCAGGGTCCCTTCCTTCCTGGATTCTTCTGACGCTGACCCTCCTGACTCCTCCCCCTCTTTTCGGCGGGCTTTGGGACCTGGCTCCCTATCCGGGCTGCCAACTGCGCCGCCCTCCTGTACATTTGAACTTGGCGCGCGCGCCCAGCCTTCAACCTTCCTCTCGACCGTTTCCTCGCTCCCCGATGGAGGCGTGGCCAATCCTGACTCATGTCCTCCCACTGGCAGTGCGCCGCCTGATCCCGATGCCTGGGACTCCTCCCCCCTACTGCACTCTGGTGTGGACGCTGGTCCTGATTTCCAACTGCTGCTCTCTGAGTCCCCTCTGGCCCCTTCTTCCTGGGGTGTCCCCCTCGGCACCCCCTTGCTCTGACCAAGGGAGCCCCTTTCTGTGAATCTTCCGATTCGCTGGAAAGACTCAGAGACCTCGGACCGCTGTCATCGCTAACATTTCCTTCGGACTCCTCCCCCTCGCTCTCTATTTCCTCCCTTTCCTGTGCCTCTGCTCCTGAACCCCTGACAACATTAAACATTTTTTAAAACTTCCCTATAAAGGATTTCCTTCAGACGGCCCAGTGGTCGGAAAACTCCATACCCTTCAACATTTCTCCAATGAAAATAGGGACATCCTAAGGAAAAGTGGGACATTCTGGGATCAAATCAGTAACTGGGACGGCTTCTCTAAATCAGGGACATCCCTGGAAAATGGAGGCAGTTGCAGGGTCTGGCATCGCTACACACACCGTTCATCCCAGACAATGAGGTCCAGCTCTGAGGGCCTTCTTGTGTTTGCCTCGCTGTGAAGTTAACTGAGGTTACAGGGAACCAGGCAGGGGGCCTTCTCGGTAGTGGCTCCCTCCCTGTGGAACGCCCTCCCATCAGATGCTAAGGAAATAAACAACTATCTGACTTTTAGAAGACATTTGAAGGCAGCCCTGTATAGGGAAGTTTTTTAATGTGTGGTGTTTTACTGTGGTTTTATAACTTGCTGGAAACAGCCCAGCATAGGTGCCAATTCCCTGGGGCCCTGGGTGCCTAAGCACCCAGAAATTCCCCATGAAGTGGCCGGGCACTCACAAGTTTCAGTGCTAGGGCCGTGCACGGTGCATGGCACCCACAGCCCCAGGCACCCATGGTCATGGGGCCAAGTTGACACTCCTGTAGACCAGAGAGGCTGGGGCAAATCAGTCAGATGGGAGGGGGCATATAACGAATTACTCCTGCTACTGATATGCAAAGTCTCCCTAATGGAAAGAGTGTATACCTGCTGAGATATATGCAGACTGTACACTCACTGAAGGCTACGTGTGAATAAATGTACCAATGTCCAGGTCAGCTATTTGTGTATACAGGGGCACTTGTTCAATGTAACATGTGAATCACCTTTCCTATGATTCTTTATAAGGCAGTTTTCTCTGTTTAATCAGATGTAGAAAATAGAGCCTCTTAAAGGGTTGTTCCAGCTGAGAAGCCAGAAGAAATTTCTTACTGGAAAGGTCTATTTTGAGGAACTTTCCTCCATCTGCAAATTGTAATTTAAGCCAATAATTTAAAAATACGTAGGTGGACTCAATGAAAAGTTGGCCACCGGATTTAGCAGCCTGCGCTTCTCAGATACAATAGCAAAGTGTTGTTGATATATTTTCCTGCTGTGGCCCTTGGATGTTTTCACAGTTTCATGACCAGCAGACAATCAGGCAAAGTCTCTCCAGCGATGGAGGAGCAACAACTGGAAAATCTTCACCTGTTGAACTTCTTCTCATAATGCAAAAGTAATCCTGGCAGCCTAAAGGTGACATACCATTGAATGCTATGCTGTGCATTCAATTCCAAATTTCTCCATTGCTGCCATTTAACCATTGCACGACAAGCAGAAATCCAACTGGTAGAGCTTAAGGCTGTTTCTCTCCTCCCCCCCCCCTTTTAAAACAGGACTCCTGTATCACTGCACCTGCCTAACCAGCAGAAATGTAGCTGGCAAAGCTTTTATAATGGCTATCATCAAGAATGAAATTCTGTAGCTTTTCATACCAAAAGTGCTCCAGTTTGTTTTTCGTCCTGCTTTCGTTGGGCTGCAATGCAAGATTGACACTCCAGATGACAATAATGCAGTAACCCTGGGGAAGCATCGCAGCACAGCTAAAATCATGGAAGGATGTGTGGCCAGCCCAGGATAATCCCACCAATAATGGACCATTATTGGGGCAATGTCGTATTGCAGAATTACACCTCCCCACCCCCCCAAATCCCATCCATCTGGTCCTAGTTGGTCAGCTACACTGGCTGACTGCTGTGTAGGATGGTCAGATGTTGCAGAGGGCAGGGCTCTTGCACTTTTTAATAGTTGTGCAGGAGAGGGGATTTCAGGGCGGAACAGGACAGCGTACAGTGCAGAATTTCATCAGGTGCAGTGATGGGGAAAAGTTTCGTCTCTTGGATTACTGCCTGTTAAGCACAGGAGGAGCCCTGCAAGAGAGAGAATAAAAACTTTGTTCTAGGCAAATGGAAAAACACACTTTCTGCAGACACCCATTTCTCCAGCAGCACCCAAGAAAGAAAAACAAATGCATCGCTAATCTCATTAGAAGCTTACCACATTTGGCTAAAACCGCAAATCGGGGACTCTATGTAAGGAATGTGGCATCTCAGGCTTGAGCTTCTGGTCCCCTTCCGCATCTGGGTCAACACAGAGGGGCACCTCACCATCTTCTCTGTGATGCTCATTTCTCCCAATCTTTTCTCCAAGGACCTCGTGGTTTCCCCCCTCCTCATTTAAGCCCCGTTAACAACCCTGTGAGAGAGTCTGAGAGGCAGCCCAAAGGCACCCAGGAAGCTTCACTGCCCAGTGGCATAGCACAGGGCCAGTTGCCCCGGGCATGAAATTGTTAGGGGCATAAGATTTCAACACCTGGTGGTGCCTCAATACAGCCGCACGGGCTCCATTGAAAATGGCTTCTCCATGCGAAGCAGAAAGTAGCCTCTCCAGACAACAGAACAACTCTTCTTTTCTCGTCTCTATGGCTACAATTTCCTGGGTGATGGAGACACTTCCATTAGGCAGCTGAATGGGAATGCGTACTCTGTCTGTTTCCCACCCACCCACACCTCCACGCAGCCCCGGGCACTGGCAACCCACGCTATGCCACTGTCATGGCCATGTGAAGATTTGAACCCTGGCCTCCCAGGTCCTAGTCTGATGCACTAACCACTAAATCACATTGTCTTCCTCCTCCTCCAGAGAGTGAAAATGCCCAAGCATAAGAGGGTCACCTTTAAATAAATCACATGACATTGTGCAATCCTTCAACAGCCATCATCACCCAAAAAAGGGTTGTTACAGAATTGCATAACATTTGTACATACTATATATAGATGCAACTTCGGGGGCACGGGTGGGAATACTGCAGTTTATGATGCAATATATCTCACCATCATGGGGAAGACTCCTGGGGGCCAGGGGTCAAATGTCTGCTGATCGAGTACTAAAGGGCAGCTATTTCCAGACTCCTGATCTTCCTTCTTGTGGTTCTTCAGCTTCACACCAGGCAGCCCTTCCAAACAGAGAGCTCCTTCAGTTAACAGCATGTGCAAGGAACCTTTGGCCTGCCAGATGTTGCTGAAGCACACCTCCCATAATCCCTAGTCACTGACCGTTCTTCCTGGGGCAACATCTGGAGGGCCAATGACTCCCCAAACCTGAGTTAGAGGATTGTTCCTTGACAGTCCCTTGAAGGATGGTCATTTGTCATGGATGCTTTAGTTGAGATTCCTGCATTGCAGGGGGTTGGACTAGATGACCCTTAGGGTCCCTTCCACTTATACAATTCTATGAATCGATGCACTTTTTAATATATAAATGGGGGGGGGTTTGAGGATTTTCTTCTGCAACAAAAAAAGTGCTTCTTCTTCAGCGATCACTCGTAGCTGAGTAAGATTGTCTTCCATAAACATGGTTTTAACAGTGAGTCCGTAAGTGACTGTCGAGGCCAGTTCTGGATCCACACGTCCTTCCACAGTGGGGACGTTGGTTTCCGGGCGGGAGTTGATCACGGTGAGGGTTTGCCAAGCGTGCCTTCCTCTTAGCGCATTTCTCCCTTTCGTCCTGAGTTTGAGCGTTTTCAAAGCCCATGACACCTTTGGTAAAGGCTGTTCTCCTATTGGAGCGCTCGTAGGCCAGTGTTTCCCACTTGTCGGTGTGTATAACGAAAAAGGACACAAGCTCTACCTGGAGATGTTAGGAATGCAACCTAGAATCTCCTGCACAAAAAGCGGATGCTCTACCATGTGTGGTTATCTAACTGTGGGGCAGCCTTCCCTTTGGAGTACAGTGGTACCTCAGGTTAAGAACTTAATTCGTTCTGGAGGTCCGTTCTTAACCTGAAACTGTTCTTAACCTGAAGCACCACTTTAGCTAATGGGGCCTCCTGCTGCCACTGCGCAATTTCTGTTCTCATCCTGAGGTAAAGTTCTTAACCTGAGGTACTACTTCAGAGTTAGCGGAGTCTGTAACCTGAAGCGTCTGTAACCTGAAGCGTCTGTAACCTGAGGTACCACTGTATCTGACTTTCCAGGGAGAGACAGCATCCTAAAGTAAGTTGTGCCTCCGGCCAAGAGGACTGGGTCTGCATGGCAAAGAACCCTCACTGCCCCCCAGTGGAAAGCGCCCTCACTGTGCCCTTGCTTGGGAAGAAGCAGGCTCAGAAAGGGCCACTGCTTTGTTGTTAGGAAGCTTCCTTGCGATGTCAGCAGGGGGCTTGCTACGCCTCTGTTTATGCCTGCATTGAGATCAGTGCCTCCTAGCTGCAGGCCCTCGAGGGCAACAATAGCAGGTTTGCAGAAGACTTCTTGTTTTTCACTTCATCACCCAATACCAGGAAGTATACGTGGGCAGATCTACACTGTGCATTTAAAACATGTGACTTCCCCCAAATAATCCTGGGAACTGTGGTTTCCCCCTTACAGAGCCACAATACCCAGCACCCTGAACAAACTACACTTCCCAGGATGCTATGGGGCAAGTCACGTGCTTTAAATGTACAGTGTGAATCATCGGCTCTGATCATCGGTTTCAGGTTGGCGGAGTAGAAAGTATATTTAGTGGGGGGGGGGGAGAAGTTTTAAATGTTTGAGAAGCAACCCTTTCAAGGGCTCAAAAAACAGTCACAAAACTAAGGGACTGAGAGGGCTAATTAATTCAGGCAACCTTGTAAAATCTGGTGAAGAATTTTAATAACCAGTCTGAAAAGTTTAATGGTTGAGGTTGTTAGCTTTTACCCCCTGGAAGAGCTCCTGCGCATTTAACAGCTGCTGGACTCAGAAAAGTTTCTAAGAGGTTCAACTTGTCCCTACCACTTATCTTCATGCCAGGAAAAAGTCTCCTTCTAAGTGTTTGTTTGTTTGTTTGTTTGTTTGTTTGTTTGTTTGTTTGTTGTTTGTTCAGAAGCTATTAACAGCACAGGAGCCCTGTGAGGGAAAATTTGGTCACCATGCTTCTCAAATGTCATCACCAAAGGTTGCCAAATTTTTTCCTGGCTGCGCTCTTGTGTCTTTAACATGACCAGCAGAAACTTAGTAAGCAAAGCTCCTCCAACATGAAAGCTAGACTAATCCAGAATGCAGCAGCTAGACTGGTGACTGGTAGCAGCTGCTGGAACCATATAACACCGGTCCTGAAAGACCTACATTGACTCCCAGTAAGTTTTTGAGCACAATTCCTGGTGGATAGAAGCTTTGTAGCTTGAGGCTTGAGGGAACATTAACAGTGACTTCCCAGAAAATCTCAGGGATCCACTTAGGGTATAAGGGTTTAGGCAGTTCCTGGACCCAAATTGTTAAGAGCCTTGTAAATTAATACAAGGACCTTGAACCTGGTCTGGTAGCATATGAGCAACCAGTGAAATCTTTCGAGCACTGAAAGGGATGTGCTGGCGATAGTCTGTCTGTCCCCACTGGCAATCTAGCAGCAGCGCTTTGCACCAGCTGGAGCCTCCGGATCAGGCCCAAGGGTAAACCCGCATTTATGAATCACTTCCTATGATGCATCACAAAATAATTTGCAATGCAATCTATATGTATAAAACAATTATATATATATCAAAGCAACTGAAACAATTGCAAACATGTGCACACACACACCAGTTAAAAAAACAGTTACCAGACCCTCCTATTTTCCAGGGACAGTCTCCAATTTATAGAAGCCGTCCCGGTTTCTGATTTGACCCCGGAATGTCCCACTTTTCCTTAAGACGTCCATATTTTCATCTGAGAAATGTTGGAAGGTATGGAGTTATGTGACCCCCCAAGCCAAGGAGATAAGTAACCATAACACCTTGAGAACACATCTGAAGGCAGTGCTGTAGGGGGGAGTTATTTAATGCTTAATGTTTTATTACGTTTTTATATGCGTTGGAAGCCACCCAGATATTATGAGCAGAGTATAAATGTTGTTGTTGTTGTTGTTGTTGTTGTTGTTGTTGTTGTGGAATAGGATGTCCTTATTTTCATCGGAGAAATGTTGGAGGGTACGAGTTACTTCCCAGTTGGTTTGGCTGTGCCTTTCCAAAATCCAAAGTCGGGAACTGTTTGCCTCATCTGTTAAGCCCGCCCTAGCTGGGCCAAGATAAGCTGCAAAGGCATTTTGAAGGAAACAGAACAAAAGGCCTCTCTCACCTTTCTGGGTAAGCGCACAGCCCAGATAAAGAGCTACCAGCTTGTTCACTGGTCCCTCTAGTTTCACACACTACAGTGGCTTGATTTGGTTCAGGAAGGGCAGATAAGCTTTATCATTGGCTCACGGCTGCTTTATCAAGCTACAGTTAGGCATGGTTAGAGGCAGGAGGCGGGCGGAAGGGAGGAGGGACATTGTCTGCCCTAAGCAAGATAGGCTACTACTGGGTTTTGCTAGTGGATCATGTTTCAGTTTCTCCATGCTGCTGACTAAGCAAGCTGGGCTCAATGAAATCCCCTCTTCCACGCAGCTATTCAAGGCGCAGAAACATAGGAAGCCTCATAATGCTGAGTCGAAGCCTTGGTCTAGCCAGCTCAGTGTTGTCTACACCAGTGGTTTTCAACCAGGGTACCTTGAATTATGGTCGGGGTGCTGTGGGCAACACTGGCCTCTGGCCCTCTTTCTTTCTTTCTTTCTTTCTTTCTTTCTTTCTTTCTTTCTTTCTTTCTTTCTTTCTTTCTTCCCTCCCTCCCTCCTCTGATGTGCCCTCTCTCGTCTCTGTCTCCCAAAGGCTTGCACAGCTGTTTGTTGCAGCACCCCTGGTTACAAGCTCCCCACACAAATAGTACCTCTGGGGCTGGCGAGGGGGTGCTTCCCAGGCCCCTGTGTGAGGTGGCACCACTCTTTGGGGCAGGGGGGGCAGCTCAAAGACCAGGAGCGGCTGCCCAGAGGACTCCTAAGGAGAGGGGAGAATAGAGGAAGCTGAGGGAAGACTCCACAAGGGAGGGTGTTTGAAAAAGGATGATAGACTGCCAGCTCTGCAAGCAAGGGGTGACATAACTGGGCTCCTGAGCCCCACAGGGGTGCCACAGAAAGAAGGTACTTGGTCAAAGGAGCCGTGGACTCAAAAACCTCTCGTCTACACTGATTGGCAGCAGCTCTCCAGGAATGAAGACTGGTGTCCTCTCTTAGCCATACCTGGAGACGTCGGGAACTAAGCCTGGGACCTTTCTGTGTGCATTGTGGATGCTTTTTGCTGGTTCAGATCAACCCATGTTAAGCAAGCTAGCCTTGCTGCAATCTCCTCTTCTGCACAACAATTAAAGTCAGCTAGCCGCCTTGCAATGAGTCAGACCCTTTGTAGAATTGTAGAGTTGCAAGTGTAATAAACGGAAATCTGCCCTTATTCCCTTATGAGGTACACAAGAGCCCTTGTAGAGTCCTTTGCAGGTTCTCCATCGGTCAGAGAAAAATAACAGAGGCCAACCAGAGAATATTGAGAAGCAAAGCAGCTAGTAAACCTGATCTTTATTGAACTGTTGCAACAGGGTACCCCCTTCACACACAGGAGGAGGAGGAGGACCCAGAACCCAGGTATGTCCGCCCTTATATAGACATTTTAAATTGTTCGCCCTGGAGTTCAAGACCACCCCCAGAAACATCATACATACATCACAGAAGGGGTGTTCTACAACAGAAATCTGACAGCATTGTTTATCTCCTGTCATTGTTTATCTCCTGACTGGCAGGTTACCTGTTAATGCTTACTTGATTGGATACCCTGAGGAGCCTGGCCAGTCATTTGTAATGATAAATACTTAGTTCCTGAGCCAGGTCACAGGCTCACACCCTATTCATATCTTAAATGTGCCCTTGTGAGGAAAGAGACAATGGGGAGGTTTCCCACTTTGACCTTGCAGAGAAATATTTGAGGTCAATTTGTTCAGGACTTTCTTTTCTGTGGGGTTTCAGACATGTGGTTTGTTTGTTTGTTTATGTGTTTGCTTGGTACATTTATTACATATCTAAGACCTTAAAATTCTTATAACACAAGGGACCCCCAGGGTCAGAAACTCTTTCCGTCAGAAACTTTCTTCCTAATGTTTAGACAGGCAGGAGCTCTGCAGAATTTTAGTCTGGTGTCTTTTCCTTCAGCACTTCCAGGGGATGGTGGGGACTGAACCAGGATTCCCAGGACATCCTGCACACAAAGCAGATGCTCTAACCAGTGAGCTACAGGAAGGGTGCTTCTTTTTAAGCACCTGTCCACCATTGCTATCGTCTGCAACATGTCTCCTTGAATGGGACTAGCTGCATGCAAATGGCATCCTGCACCAAGAAAAACCCCGGTTGGTGCAGTCATTGACGGTGCTACAAGGAGAGTCCCTTCTCTCTATTTCTGAAGTTTGTGAATGAATGAGAATAGGGAAGCCACAGGCCACTTGCACACCTATAGAGCAATAGCCCACCCTGGTGGCTTTAGGAGAGAACTGCAGCTAAAGGAATTCGGGATGATTCCTTAGGGCTAAGGACCATCCGAAGCGACGGGATGAGAACGCTAACATTTTCCTCGAGGGGAAAATTTCACGCAGTGCAAAGAAGCACAGCCAGCAGCACTGTGCGAAGCTTGTCGCTGCCGTTTGTCTTTTATTAGATCGGAATATATGCTGAGCCTTTGCCGAAGAGGTTGCATCATTTGGGACTGTCTAGTTTCCAGAAAAGGAGAGTTAGCAAAGGTAAAGGTACCCCTGACCATTAAGTCTAGTTGTGGACAACTCTGGGGATGTGTGCTCATCTTCCTCTATAAGCCAAGGGAGCCGGCGTTTGTCCGCAGACAGCTTCCAGGTCTTGTGGCCAGCATGACTAAGCCGCTTCTGGCGAACCAGAGCAGTGCACGGAAATGCCGTTTACCTTCCCGCCAGAGCGGTACCTATTTATCTACTTGCACTTTGAAGTGCTTTCGAACTGCTAGGTTGGCAGGAGCAGGGACCGAACAACAGGAGCTCACCCCGTCGTGGGGATTCAAACCACTGACCTTCTGATCGGCAAGCCCTAGGCTCTGTGGTTTAGACCACAGCACCACCCGCGTCCCAAAAGGAGAGTTAAGAGGTGACATAGAATCATACAGTTGGAAGGGACCCCCAAAGGTCATCAAGTCCAACCCTGCTGCAATGCATAGAAGCTTATCATTTTATAGCATGGGGAAAGTGAGTAGAGAGGGGGTTTCTTTCTCTCTCTCTCTCTCTCTCTCTCTCTCTCTCTCTCTCAACTCTAGAACTCAGGGACATTGAATGAAGCTGAACATTGCAATATTCGGGACACATAAAAACAAGTGCTTCTTCGTGCAGAGTTAAACTGTGGAACTCACTGCCACAGGAGGCAGTGACTGCAACCAACTTGGGTGGCTTTAAACTAGACAAATTCATAGTGGGAAAAGCTCTCAGTGGCTACTTGCCACAATGGCTATGTTCTGCCTCCACAGTCAATAGGCAGTAATTCTTCTGCATACCCATTGCTGAAGAGGAGGGGAGAATGCTCTTTCCTTATCCCCTGCTTTCATGGCCCCCACAGGCTGCTGTTTTGCAGCTGTGAGAACCGAATGTTGGACAGGCTTGTCCATTGGCCTGATCCAGCTGTCTCTTTTATTGTTGTTGTGCTCATAACTCAGTTAGGTGGGTTAGGCTTAGAGGCAGCGATTGGCCCAAGGTGACGCAGTGAGGTTCACGGCTGAGAGTGGGGATTTGAACCCTGGGCTCCCACCAATGACACATTGGCTCCCAATTGTGCCCATGTGTGCAGAAAAGGCACGTGGGGTGCAACCCTAGAGCAAAACGGTGCATGTTGTGTTACTTTCACATACGAAATGTTCTGAACTGGTTATGGCAGCCCTGTTTAGAGTAGGATCAGCCTTTGCCAATTGGAGTACAGCTGTCTGGCCAAAAGCAAGACGGCTCTTAGATTAGATTCAGAAGCAATACAAACGCAAGTGGGTGAGAAGATTTCAGATTTTATTATGAACAGGAAGTAAAAGATACATTACCAAGCAGCACTTCAATCTGCCTACGGGAAAGCCCTGGAGACGTGGCGAGGTGACCACCAGGTAGCCTTCTTTTGCACAGCTCTGTGGCCAACAGCCTGTGTGCGAATTCCCAGCTCCTGTATTCAAAACTAGGTATTTTATAGATGCTGGTCCCCGTTGGGGCTGAGCTACTCTACATCAAAGTCAAAAAGCCAGGCCACACATCAAAGACCCTTTTTCAAGGGATAGAGAAAGCAATAAAACATAGATGGCCAGAGTCAGGAAGAGATAACCAGACAGGAAGAGTTGGCCATGTCAGATCACTATCTCCTTGAAATTACAATAATCTTCCGGAATTATTATCCTATACAGGCTCCCATCATTCCCAGCCAACACGTACTTCCTAGGGCTCATGGGAGTTGTAGTCCAAACTGTTATGTACTGAAGTTCTCACCCTGGGCCAGCAGGGGGATACTGTGGATAGTTTTCACTCAGGTCCACATATGCAAATAAGGGATTGAAAGTGACGTTCAGTGATTGGATAGTTACAGAAAATGGTTACTGTTGCATTCTAGTGGAATAAGCAGGCTGGCTGAACCCTTCGGTTCAGTTCTGTTTTGGCCTGCGAATAAACAAGAGCTGTTTGAAGAATCGCTGTGTCGTCTGATATGTTCACCCACAACTTAACACAAAACACTGTGGCAGACACAACACTGAAAACTTCAGCTGAGGTTTTTTTCTCTAGCGGGAGGGCAAACCGAGTGCAAGGAATTATTAGCATGGGGAAGGAAAATCCCAAAAGAGGACATTTCCTTTATGTAAGAAATATGTGGTCAGCTTTGTTTGGCCAGCAATTGTGGAATGGAGCCTGTTGCCACCGCCCCCCAGCTGCTAATGGGCTACAACCAATATTTTTAGACCGACCCTAATTTTTTTTTAAAAAAAGTAATTTTTATTAAAGGATTTTCATAGTTAGCAAGGGTACATACGGCGTCTCTGTTTTCAGTGGACAGAGTCCTTTCTACAGGTCAGTTACATTCGGTGTGAGACACCTGCTGCCATACTTTTGTTTAAACTGGCTTGAATGCTGTCTTTATAAATTGCGGTAACCTGCGTTGGGACCTCATGGTGAAGACCAGTTAAGAAATCCGATTGAACAATAGCAGCTCCTTCCATCACCCCAAGGGGTAAGTTGGCTGGGGCTGATTCCCGGAGGTTGTCCAACACACAAGTGGAGGGCCATGGGATTCAGTCACCCCCTGGGGTATGGCTCTGGTAATTTAAAAAGGCCATTGCAGAGCTAGGAAATATGTAGAACAGATTGGGGAGGCGGATAAGCTTTGCTAGATGAAAAGGCTATAAAGTGCTCCCTTGGTTCAAACTTGGATAGAGTAAAAGTGTGTGCGTTGGGATCGGTCTAAAGTGCACCATGGGGGGTGGGGTAAAGGCAAACCACTGGAGTGTTACTATGGCTGCAGAGACTGATACAGGGGAAATATGATTTGTTGCAGCTGGGGCAGAGGGAGGCATCCAGTTTTGCTGTGGCGTTTCTCCTCCCAGCGGTCATTCCTTCTCTGGTCACTGCTGTGGAAGCACAGCCTGAATACCTGTCTCCAGGCCATGTGATGTAACCCAGCAAGATCTGGAGGGACAAAGCTGTCTGTTTTAGAATGGAAACACTTCCTTATTTGCTTTGTTTTGAAAGTTCCTTTTTTGGGTGCCTGTGTACAACGACCGCACCTCCATCATCATCATCATCATCATCATCATCCCCTCCCCAAACCACAAACACAATATTAGCCTCCTTTATTTGCATCATTTATTTTATTAGTTTTTAAAAGCTGTATAAAAAAAGAAAAGAGACATTTGCTTTTTTAAAAAAAGGCAAAATTTGTTGTATCAATGGTGCGTAAAAACAAGCTGCAGGTACCATATTTACAAAATCATTTTCATTCCATAAATTACAAAGCTCCCGATTGTTATTTACAGAATACATAATATATATCTAAATATATATATTATCTGTCATTTTATCAGCAACAACAACAAGAATAATAATACTTTCCCCAACAAGAAGTAGGTCCAGTCAAGTGCCAACAATCCTTCAGTAGTATTAATAATAGTAAGAACAATAATAATAATAACTTGATAATAATAACAATAATAACTTGATAAGAGCATCTCTTGAGGTAGGTAAGTATTATTATTGCAGCTGTGTGTATTCCCAGGAGAAAAGACGCAAGGCAGTACGGCATGTATTTATATAAATATATATATATATATGAGCGCATGGATTCAAACTGTGCGATCCTAGGCACATCTACTTAGAAATAAGGCCTGCTGGATTGAACTGGACTTACTGCCAAGTACATGCGCGTAGTATCACAGCTGGGATAAATCTCAGCGCTTAAAAAATCAAAACACCAACCAATTTCTAGACCTTAAGTCAGAGAAGGAGAACCTATGGCCATTCAGACACTGCTAGACTCAACTCCCATCATCACCACCACCACTGGGCATGCTGGAAGTCCAAAGACAAGGTCATCTGAAGGGCCACAGGCTGCCCTAGCCTTGCCTTAAGTAGCAGAAGAGCTGGAAATGTAGGCAAGAGATGCCTGGATGCATTGCAGAAGCTGGGGGTGGCAGCAAAAGGAGATCTGAGCAGCAACAGCAAGGGAATGAGGCTTTAGCAGAGTGTGGGAGGGCGCTGCAGCCCTCTGGGTCACATCAGCACCCCCGCCAGTGCAGCCCAAGGGCTGGGGGAGGGGTGTTGAAGGGAGCTGGAGCCTGGCAACATCTGTAGGATCACAGGTCCCCCCCACCTCTGCTCTAATGCTATTTGGACCTCCTTGCCAAATTGCTGCAGACAAAGCGCATTTGCATACAATGGCATGTTTTCCCATAAAAGTGCAATAGGGGGTCAGGAGCTCTCCTGTCCCTCTCTTTCAAAGCAGCAGGAGCAGCGTTTGGTTCTAAAGTGCAGGATAAACACACAGCGCCTACAGAAAACCTCTTTGAGAAAAGCCACTGAGAATTAGGAACTCGCGGGTCCTTTGCCCCACCGCTTCACATTTCTCTCTCTATAAAGAGCTGAAAACACACACACACACACACACACACACACACACACACACTATATATATATAAATATATATTTTACACGGACACTCACCTTACCCTGCTCTAACCACTGGCAAACACAGCCCTTCCATTCTGGAACAGCTTAATCAGACAAGCTGGAATGCTACAGTTGTTCAACACCATAGAAACAAGGTCAGCCCAGCCCAGCCCCTCTCAAGGAACCTCTCCAGACTCAAGGAGGAGTCTTAGGAGCCAAGTGTCCTTCGCGAAGGGATACTACAGTTTCCCACCCCCACCCCCCAAAAGAAACCCCACAACCACCCCAGGCTCTGCCCAGTCTTCAGGGTTTGGATGCTCGCTTCGTGAGCCGTTTCAGCATGTTGGGGTTGGGTCTCTGGAGAACGGGCATCGTCGGCTGAACGTAATAGTAAGTTACAGGGAAGTAGCTGAACACTGTGCCTTGTGGGTGCGGGATCCAAAGGGGAGACGGCGTTCGGTAGCGATGGGGCTCCTGGAAAGGGGCGGGGGAAGAGAGAGGTCAGAATAGGACTTCTTAAATACGCAAGATATTGGTGTAGTTTATTAATGCTTGGGCATAAGTTAAATGACCTCAGTACAAAACAAAACAGAGACGATATAACACCTGTCCTGAAAGACCTACACTGGCTAGCAGTAAGTTTCCGAGCACAATTCAGACAGCCAGGGTCATCCCCCTAGACTGGTTGCATGTAAGGCAGGTGGGTGGGTCGTTTGAGCTTGGTGGGCCAGTGCCCCCTTTGCCCTAATCCAAAATGCAGCAGCTAGACTGGTGACTGGGAGTGACCGCCAAGACCACATAACACTGGTCCTGAAAGACCTGCATTGGCTCCCAGTACATTTCCGAGCACAATTCAAAGTGTTGGTGCTGACCTTTAAAGCCCTAAACAACCTCAGCCCAGTATACCTGAAAGAGCATCTCCACACCCATAATTCAGCCCAGACACTGCGGTCCAGCTCTGAGGGCCTTCTGGCGGTTCCCTCCCTGGGAGAAGTGAGGTTACAAGGCACCAGGCAGAGGGCCTTCTCAGTAGTGGCACCCGCCCTGTGGAACACTCTCCTATCAGATGTCAAGGAAATAAACAACTATTTGAATTTTAGAAGACATCTGTTTAGGGAGGTTTTTAATGTTTGATGTTTTATTGTGTTTTTAATATTTTGTTGGAAGCCGCCCAGAGTGGCTGAGGAAACCCAGACAGATGGGCGGGTTATAAACAATAAATTATTTATTGTTTTTATTATTATAGTACAAAACACTGCATAAAATTACATTGGTGCCTAGAAGCAAACACACAGTACAGAACCAGATTCCCAGCCTCTCTCCTATCAGCTTACGTGTTTGGGGAGATTTGCTCCCCCGGCTTTAATCTGCGATGTCTTTGCTGCAGAACGCCTGCCGGAACTCTCGTCCTCCGAGGACGACGCACACTCGGAGGGCGACTCCGAAGGAGACTCGGAGTGATAGTCCGAGGTCTCCGACTCGGGCGTTGCTTTGCCACTGCTGCTGCTACTGCTTCTCTCCACTTTCTTCTCCTTCTCCCTCTCCTTCTCCTTCTTCTCCTTCATCTCCTCATCATCCTTCACTGTGAAGGGGCGGCTGTTCTCGCCAAGCCTGGGGTGGGGGAGAAGGAAGGTAGGGGTCAGACACTGGAAGGAAGCGCTTCCCCTCTATTTACACTCACAAGCTTCCATTGGAAGGAAGACAGGCAGTTGTTTTTTTAATGTTTTATTTTGCAAGCAGAGAACAGTTCCAATGATGGCCTGGTCTTTTTAATGGAAAATGCAAGGTGAATCAAGAAAGCTCGAATGTGGATCCAGTGAATGGGGACATTTGTTTTAATCACACGTTATAGAAAACAATGAATGCCGTAAAGGGAAAGTTAGTATTATAGTAGATCGAATATTATGTTAAACAGAATGTCCTTAATCCTGTATTTAGTCAATACTGTGCTTTAGAGAAACGTAATCTGAATCCTGAAATGCTGTCCAAGCAGGGAGGGGGGCTAATTTGTATTTAATCAATCTTACTTTTGTACTGTGGTTGGGGGGTATGGAAATAAAGAAGGAAATGAAAATCCATTTACTGTATGCTCCAGGTGATAAGTTATACGAGCTTCTACATAACTTTAAGAACTGGTGCCCCAAGTTTGAAAAAGACAACCAGCTAAACGAATTGCAAGCTTTAAAACTGCTCTTATAAGTTGCTCATCTGAAGGACGGGGGTGCTTCAAAGAAATTATTGGGTTGACCAAAAAGCAAGAATTAAAAAGGTAAAGATAAAGGGACCCCTGACCATTAGGTCCAGCCATGACTGACCATGGGGTTGCGGCGCTCATTTCGCTTTATTGGTCGAGGGAGCCGGCCTACAGCTTCCGGGTCATGTGGCCAGCATGACTAAGCTGCTTCTGGCAAACCAGAGCAGCACACGGAAACGCCGTTTACCTTCCTGCCGGAGTGGTACCTATTTATCTACTTGCACTTTGACGTGCTTTCGAATTGCTAGGTTGGCAGGAGCAGGGACCGAGCAACGGGAGCTCACCCCATTACGGGGATTCGAACCACTGACCTTCTGATCGGCAAGTCCTAGGCTCTGTGGTTTAACCCACAGCGAACAAGAATTATTGGTGCTCAATTAAAAATTCAGCTTTTAGCATAAGTACTTTACACAACACAAAGGGGAATCCCTCTTTCAAAGGGTGCTTTCTATTACAACTCACCTATGGGGTTGTTGCTTTTTTAAAGGGACGGTTCCGTCGAATGCACTCACCTGCAGGAAACCTCGCCAGGATCAATCCAGATTGTAATTTCGCCTTTCAACGTCAATTCCGAGTAATCGAGACCACTCTCCATACAAGCTTTCAGGATGGCATCATCCTTGGTATACTGCCTGTTGATTCGGATGCACCTGCGAGGAAGCAGAGACAATGCAGAAACGGCTTAGATTTAGAACAAGATTCGGTGATCAGGCGCAGCAGGTAAACCTACATTCCCATAATGGGGAGAACCACCCGGACACCCAAGAAAATTAGCATGGTTTGCTCTTATTCATTTCCTCTAAAGAGCTTGGGGGTGGCATCTGCAGTCTCCCCCCACCCCCCAATCCTCACAAATCTGCGATGTAGCTTTGTCAGAAACTGAAGAGACTTTTAAGTCTACTTAAGAGAGACAACCAGCTATTTATACATATTCAAGGTTGCCAGCACTTCCATTTTCACATTTTGAATACAATCATTTCCTGGGCTGTTGAATTGGCATTTTGAATGCATTTTTGTAAACACAATGGGGGAAAACCCTAGATCCACGAAATTATGCAATACACATAGACCATAATCCCTTCTTCTTCTTCTTATTATTAGACTTATTGTTTTTATTGCCCGTCCTTCACCAGCAAGTCACAATTTAAACTTCAGAATTAAGAACTGTAGGTTGCCTACTCTCCCCTTGCACTTGTCTGCCCAGAATTTACAACCAAATCAATTTTGCTGGGTGAATCTAACATTTCTACTTTTGCTGGGCGACTCGAACATTTGTTCTCTACGCGTGCGCAAAGTCAGAAATTAATTGCCACTAAGCTCAGCAGGATTTACTTGAAATGAACATGCTCTGCCACTCGGGTACTCTGTGTGCACAGCAATTTGTAATATTATAAAACAAGGACTGCCAGGTAATAATCTGTAGTACAACAAGCTCCAGACAGAGTCCTTGCAAACAAAGCTTCCAGCTGACCTGCAGGCTGGTGACACAGGCGTAGCAGCAGCCAACTGGTTTGTAAACCGCAGTTCTCTATCAGCTACACAAATAGCCTTGAGAGGTACAATACAGTTATTTTGCAGCTAGCTCTGCAAACAGCTGCCGCCATAAAGAGGCATCCAATCGTTGCCTCATCCTCGACAAACACGCAGACAAGAGTCAAGGGTGTCTGGGATCTCGAGGCAAAACATAGCCGCTGCTCTCAGTCTATTCCTTCCCCTCTCTCCTTTAAATGTGAAATGTATTTATCCAAGTAGCTAGCCCTCATGGTTCCGGAGCGGAACACAAGTTACTGGCAAAAAGCACGAGCTCTTTTTATCCCTTTCTTTAAGGCAATGAGAATCAGAAGCAGCTGTGTATTGTTTATTTACTCACATAGCACCAAAGTCCCTGCCCCGAGGAGCTTACAATCTAACCTTCAGCCCTAATAAGGAGCTTGCGGTCCTCTAGATACTGCTGAGCCTGCAACTCCCATTATCCATGACCTCTGACCATGCTAGCCGAGGCTGATGGGGGGCTTGTAGTCCTAAACTATTCTACAGCTTCCCCCCACCCTGATCTCGGAGGAAGAAAACTAAGAGGAGGAAGGAAGCCAAAAAGGGCAAACAGAGGGAGAATGTGCCTTATTTCCATTACAAGTTCTTAAATTTTGTCACAGTGGTGTGGCAGCCACCGAGCTGTATGAAGTGTAGACTCTTTCACCCAATGTAATGTGTGAACAAGCCTGTTGGCATTCAGAAAGGGAGTTGATTTAGTGAATTTCTATGCCGCACTCCATTCAAATGAATCCCAAATCGGCTTACAAACAGTGTGCATTTCCAAAACAATTTAAAATCAGCACCTAAAATCAGCAGCCCACAAATGTTGAGATTTTGTAATAACACGGTATTTAGTAACAACGTGAATGTCAACTTAACCTTAACAGTCCAAAAGGTGGGGGGATCTGTTTGCTGAAAGCTCTTCCATCAGTTGACAGTATTCCAATTTTAGTTCATTAAAAAAATAAATCAGTTTCCTTGCTTACCTGTAAGCCTGCCCTTTGCAGGGTTTCTCTGGGTACCAATGGTCCTTGTAGCGCTCGCACAGGATCGTGGCCAGGCTCTCCCTGAAACGCTCCACCTTCTCCTTCTCCAGCTTCCGGTCGCGATCCATCACGCGGGAGATGAACCAGACTGCTTTTTCCACTTCCTCCTTCATCTTGGGCCCTTCGCTGTGTACGTCCTGGGGGAGAAAAGAAGAAATCCCATTCAGCAAATGAGCCCTACAAAGAAAGCAGCCAAAGGGCTCCAGTGTAGGGAGAGGCGAAACTCTCTAAAAAGTCACTTTGTGCCAAAAGTAGTCCTTCAATTTGCAAGGAACAGATTCGAGAGAGAGAGCTGTGTTCCCGCACAGCACGAGGAAACTCTTTGTTCTAAAAGCTTGCAACACCAGGACCACAAAATAGTGACTCGGGCCTATGAAGCAGAAGTGAGTCACCGAGGCAGAGCTTGCAGGGCTGTTACATCAGGGCTCCTGCAAGCGGATAACAACAATGGACCGGGCACGCAGACGAAAACAGGCAGGGCTGTTGCAGCGGCGGTCAGAGGGCACCCAGAGGTCCTATAGCCCAACCCCGTCTGCCCTGTCAGTCCCATACCAATTCAGCCGAGTAGGCAACCTTTTTGACAAAACACTGGCTCCAGAACTTTTGGACAAGGTGGCGTTGCAGTGGGCTGCCTTGTGGCCATCTAGGACTCTCTAGCTTGCTACTATTCACACAACCCATCCATCCTTGGGTCAAGGAGGATGAGAATTACAACACAGCCAAAAGGGCATTTGGGAGGGGGGTGAATGCTTGTGGGTCAACACCCTTATCAATAACAAACATGTCTCTTAACTACAGCACTCCCCTATGCCCTAGAGGAAAGGGGTCAAAAACTAAGTCCCTTATCTTTTTTTAGAAGGGGGAGGGGGAGCCTTCTTAGTTAAGGAGAACCATGAATAAGGTGGGTGAGAAGGCCCTTAACGAAATTCACAAGGCCCACCCAGCGTCAGAAACTCAGGTATATATAATCTAATCACCAAATGGCACCACATGGAGATCTCTGAATGCCAGGCTGGTGTCCGACATCTCCATCTGGCCGGCCCCTCCAGCTTTCTTCAGAAGAAGCTTATTTATTTCATTTACATCCCGCTTTTTTCTCCAAGCAGTACACTGTTCACCCACCTCCTCAATTAATCCCAACAACGACCCTGTGAGGTAGGTTAAGGGGCTGTAACTGGCCCAAGGACACCCAAGTGAGCTTCATGGCAGAGTCCGGGGATTTGAACCCTGGCCTTACAAGTCCTACAGTGCGACCCTGGCTTCCTAGGGTACTTCTGCTATAGGGCAAGCTCTATAAATTAAGCAGGTTAAGAAATATGAGGAAGGCAAAACGTCACTTTAGAGAAGGATCTTAGATATTTTCCTTGAAGTTTGAATTTCTCTTGTTCTGAATTGTTTTATTTGATGGCTTAACGGGTTGTAAACTGCTTTGAGAGTTTTCCTTCAAAATATAAAGCAGTATAGAAATGATGATGATAATGAAGAACAAGAAAAGTAAAGGAAGGAGAAGAAGATTATTCACAGGGAGAAGTGGAAATGGCCGCTAGACATTCCATTTTGGTGACTGTAACCTAGGTTTTTAAAGTACCATTTGCCAAAGCTACCTGCCCTACATTCTGCTAGTTCTCTCGATTGATACTGATGGTACCAAGAATTCTACTTCCCTTGCCAATCACCTACCCTCACCCAAACAGCACACACACTCCAGATAAGAACAACCACCGCCTGGATCCTCAGCCATGCCATTTTGTACGCACATGCTCTTCCCCCCACTGGGCTGGCCCGCTCAGTTTCCGGGAACAGCTTGTTGCAAGCAGATTACCTGCCATTGACGGGACACAGAAGTACACACTGAGTTGGTTGCAAAAGGTTGCAACACGAGGGGCTGGGCCTCGAAGCAGCAAAACAAAAAGAGAAAGGGCCATGCGTGGGCTGCCAACCTCTTCCTATCAACACTGGCACGTGACTGGGTACGTCTGCATGTGCTCACACACATCCGTACAAAGCTGTGATCTCTTGCACAAGGCAGTTGGGGCAAGGCAAGAGATTTATGGTTTGTTGATGCAGAAAGAAGGCTCCCTTGCACCCAGCTGTGTTTAGCTTGGCTAGAGAGAGAGGCAAATGAATGCTGCAAATCAGGAAATAATGGTCAATGTTGTTGTCCATCATAACCCCACCCCTATGCTTCCAAAACACACGGAGGCAGGTTCTGCCCCCGCAGAATCGAATCTACAAGACCCGTCAGCTGAGTGAAATGTGGGCAGAATCTATATAGGAGCACATGAGTCAAAACCAAACATGACTTATAAACAGAGTCACACCTTGGGTCCCTCTGCAACTGTTTTGTCTACACTGACTGACAGTAGCTCTCAAGATTTTGGACAGAGATCTTTCTCCCAGCACAATGCTGGGAGTTGAACCTGGAAATTTCTGCATCCAAAGCAGGCAAGCTACAGCCCTTGTCCATAACAGGAGTTTCCTATGATCCTGGAAAGCTAGTCTAGATGCCACACTGTTAAAAACCCAGATATATAAGCTAGGCGCCAAATGGTCTCCAAACCAGGGTCTCCAAAACGGAATGTCTACTTGCCAGTTAGGGTACCGATGGCTCGTGAGTCTTTTTGCTTCCTGAAATTCATTCTGACTGCGAAGATAAAATATCACTGATAAAATTCTACAGGATGTGGTGTTAGTGTGTGGAAACAGGCAAGATCCTAAGATCCCCAGGCGTGCATCTCCAGATGGTGGAGACATCAGGCACTACAAGTTGGCGGTGCAAAATTTGCCCGGCAAACACTGCTGGTCTACAGTTCCTATCACCCCTGGGGCCAGGGTTGACAGGGGTTGGAACTCAACATCACCTGGAAGGCCACTTGTCCCCCAGCCCTGCAGTGTAGGCCTTAGAAGCACAGCATCTTGAACTGCACCCAGTATACAACAAGCCTGTTCTGGTGCTCAAGCAGCAGCAGTGGCAGTCCAAGGTGATGCGGGACTTGAGGCAAAGCCCACAAGGCTGGCGCACTTGTACGTGTGTAGGTATGCTCACATGCACACGCAGGGGAAAAAATAACCACCAATCGTTTAACGGACCATCTGCATCTCTTTTGAAAGAGTGAAGATCAGACACCTGAAGCAGGCCACCTCGCCTGTCTAATGACAGGTCTGGTCCTGACTGTCAGCCATCAAAGAGAAGCCTGGATTATAGCACTTTACAGGCTAATCTTGAGGATAACAAAGGAGAAAGTTGCAGCGGCAAGGCCAGGTGTGAGGAACAGATGGTGCTAAACCACAACGGCCACCAACTCCAGCAAACATGGCCAGAAGGGCCCGACCCCACCCCGCACCTGAGCAAGGCACTTGCTGGACAGATAACAAGAATAACGCACAGCATTATTTGCCAGAAAGGCAAGCCATTACACAGGTCCCAAGGCTCTAAGGAGGAGAGGCACCTGTTTTTAAGCGTTCACCCACCTCACCCCTCCAAGCCACAAAACCTGCCAAGTATCATTAGCTCAGCAAGCTATCTGCAGCGTCTATCAGCTCACCTGCGTTTATCACCGACTCAAGAGTCACATTGAAAGAAAAAAATCAAATGATATCATAGGGAGAGCGAGCCAGAACAATGACACAAAGCGGCTTCCTGGAAATGGTAAACATTGCGGAGCACATTAGGGTCCCACAAACTACTTTGGAAGTGGAAGCTAATACTGGGGTGGAAAAGGAAGCTTCAATTACTGGCAAAACACACATTACTCACAGGATCACCAAAACCAGAAATCAAAAAATCTGCCCCCACCAGGGAAGCCTGCAAATCCACCCTAAAAGCATTTCTAAAAACCTGACAAACACAACATTTAAAATTTTTAAAATCCAGATTTTTTTGGATCACTTAAAATGTGATCAGTTCCACTTTGGGGCTCATTTCAGCCTGACAAATATCAAATTTTGGAACCAGGTTCTAACTCAGGTGTGGGGGGTCCTTGGTCTTTTAGATGTTGCTAGATTATGACTCCCATCAGCCCCAGAAAGCACAGGTCATGGCCAGGAGTGATGGGAGTCACAGTTCAACAACATCTGGAGGGCCAAGGGTCCCCCCACACCTGCCCTAGGACCTCAGATGGCCCAGCTTTAACGCAGAGGCACACCCACCCAAACCAAGTCTCGGTTGCTGCCTGAGCACCTGCTGTTTTTCAACTGCCAAAGCCAAATCTGACACCTGTTCCTAGACCTAGACCTAGACACACACACACACACACACACACACAGTTTGTCAGTCACTTCCCACTCAACCTAAGTGAAAAGGTGAACTGGGAATTCCTTTGTGCTCTCCTCTGCCCTCCCCAAACAAAGGGGATTCTGGAAAATGATTTCCCACTTGCCTCACCCCACAGGAATTTTTGGGCATAGGGGCTTTTCCCACTTCCCTCTTTCGCTTTCTGCCTCACAGGGAACAAAAAGCAAACCCTTCCTACTCCATCCTCTTTTCAATGCCGGCTAACTCGTGAGGCTCCTCACCAAGGACACATTCCCGATAAAGCCGTTTATACATCTTTCAAAATAAAAACAAATGTTTGGCCAAACAGTCCGTACCCAGGAAGGAAAGCCTCCATTCAAAACATACATAACCCACTCTGTTTGCAAACTTACTGAATGGTTTCTTGCAAGGCACCATTCCTCTTCACTTCAGTGTTCCCCGCCTTGCACAATCCACAGTACAAGAGGAAATCACACTGGCCTACTTTCCAAGGTTAGTAGCACTGAGATGTTCTACACCTAGGAAGCACACTAAGTAATACCAGTATTGTTTGCAAAGCTAAGCAGAGTCTGGTTTCAAAACTGGATGGAGGACAGTGTGTGGAGATTCCTGCATTGCAGAGGGTTGGACTAGATGACCCCTGGGGTCCCTTTCAACTGTACAATTTTATGGTCTATGATCTACTCTGTGTGTGTGGTTTTATTATGATATTCTGGTGGCTATGCACATATGGAGGTTATCCTATTTATAACCCAGGCATTGCAAACAATAACTATGCTTCTAGATCAGGGTTTCATCAAACTTGGGTCTACAGCTGTGTTTGGGACCACAATTCCCATCATCCCTGACCAGTCAGCTAGGGATTATGGGAGTTGTAGTTCAAAAGCAGCTGGAGACCCAAGTTTGGGAAGCCCAGTTCTAGAGGCTAAAGCAGGCATAGGCAAACTGGGCCCTCCAGATGTTTTGAGACTACAACTCCCATCATCCCTGGCTAACAGGACCAGTGGTCAGGGATGATGGGAGTTGTAGACCCAAAACATCTGGAGGGCCCAGTTTGCCTATGCCTGGGCTAAAACATTAATCCAGAAGCTATAAAACAGCAAGCAACTGAACACGACACTTAAGACAGATTTATTTAGCCTGGGGCCTCCCTCCAGATGCGTTGGACTACAATTCCCATTAGCCTCTTCCAGCACCCTGATGGGAATTCTCCCCCAAAACATCTGGAAAGTGCAAGGTTGATAAGGAATGATTCAACCTCAACCCTCCCAAAAGTGCAGACAAATTAATTGTTTGGTCTCCCAGCAGCTGCCCAATGGCCATTTAGAAACCTTGTGATACAGGTGCTAATTTAGCAAGATCCACCCTCTCCTGGGGTAATACAGGAGCCATTAGGAAACAATTGATTTAAAAATGCAAATGAGAGGCTATATAGGAGGCTCTAAGCTATGCATTACAGTGGTCTTTCCAAAAACCAAGGTGAGACACGCAGCAGATAAAGAGAAAGCCTTCAGACACCTTATCTAAGCCCATCAACAATGCTAAGGGGCACCTTTTCTGTTTGGTTATCTTTGTAGGGAGGGGGTAGGGCTTTACACAGATATTCAGGAATTCATGCTGCCTGGAAGGAACAAATGCACCCCAAGAGACGTTCATTGCCAGCCCTTTTAGGCAGCCACTTCCCCAAATGCACCATTTAGCTTTAGCTTGTGGGCAGGAAAGAGCTACTACTACTGGGTCACAGCTTGCTACCAGGGGGGTTGCAATAGCAGGACTGTCGCCATGCAAAGTACATGCAGAATGGTCCCTGAATGCATATTTGGGTCCAAAGGTAGCAAGACCATTGGCTTAAGGGGGATGAAAAAAATAAATGCTATCCAGCAGACACCCCAAAATGCAACACATCGCAACATCTGAAACTGGAGTAACCCACTAGGAATTTTGAGATTCTTTCCCTCCTCAATAAAATGGGACTTGTATTAGGGAAAGGATGGGGAAACTGGGAACACTCAGACTGCTGCTAGACTACAACTTCCATCAAACCCCTGGCCATTGGTCATGCTGCCTAGGGCTGATGGGAATTGGAGTCAACCACATCTGGATGGCCGCATTTCCTCATCCCTGTGAGGATTGAGGCACTTGAAGATAATAATAACAACAATAATAATAATTTTATTTTTTATACCCCATCCATCTGGCTGGGTCTCCCCAGCCACTCTGGGCGGCTTACAACACATATACAACCAAAGAAAAATATAAACCATTAAAAACTTCGCTATACTTAAAAACGTCCCTCCATGCAAAGCTATTTATACTGCACTTGATTTGTCCACTTGCCAAAATATCCATGAATGAGCCTCAATATAACATCTCTCCACCTGACATCCCAGATGCACACATGTGCAAAGTGAGCATGCAGCCAGGAATGGTCAGAACAGCTCACACGGACCAAACAATATACTGTACACACCAGCCCTAAAAAAGCCTAATATTTAGATCTCAGCTCTGCAACAAACTCTTTGTTCCAGTCTTGTGCAAGTCACCAAAAGTCCCAGCTACTACCTGCCTCAAATACATTCATCAGGAAGAGAATCCCAAAAAACCATGCCCCCAAAATGTAACTTTTTAAGAAGGTATATAAACAAGCCATATTGATTGCATTGCCAGCAGGTACAAATCCACACAGCATAATGGGAAATCTGGACTCAGCAGGTAGCTAAAACAACCCCCAATTCCTCAGCAAATGTACAAATGGATCTGCAGTCCCATTACACCTTTTGGGTTCTGTCCTAAAAACATCTTAAAATCTGCTTAGCATTTATATATATATTGGGGGGGTATGTTCTCCCTGAAAATGGAGCTCCATTGAAAGACACAATTCCGTGGACCTATTCTCTGAGAATGTGTCTTTCAAGGGGAATACCATTTCCAAAGGGCAGTACACCTCCCCAAACTTTCCTGAAAAACAGAGAACCCTCCTCTATTAGCACAACAGAGGATTCAAAACAAGGAATCGGCAACTGAAAACGCAAGAAGAGCTCTGCAGGTGGATCTGACCAACCCAAGGTGCCCAGAGAAGCTACCAAGCAGGACCCCGGTGCAAGACCGCTCTCCCCACCTGAGATTCCTGCGCAACATCAAAACAAACAACCCAAGAGACCCCCACACAACTCACCGGCGAAATCACGCAGGAGGGAGCATAGGAATGCGTTTAACAATTTGTTTAACAATAAAGTTCCCAGCGGAGCGAGGGAGGGGAGAGGCAAAGGCCAGTCTCCCTTCTCACCCCAGGCTCTGATCTAAATGAAAGTTGCAAAACAAACTACAGGACAGTTTCATCAGCAGGAAGGCGATAAAGAGCGTCAGAGGAGGAAATACGCAGAGAGTGGGTTGGCAGTCGGTAACCTGGGGGAAGTGGGTACCGAGGTCGGGAAAGGGGGAGAATGTGGGGTGTCGAGATGGGGGCAGTAGGAAGGTCACGGCCGAAGGAGTCAGTAGTCTAAACACACGGGAGTCTTTGGAGCACCCCAAGGCTGCAAATCCTTTACGCACGTCCCTGGGAGGATGGCGACCCCCTGAACTCTGCGCGTCCTTCCGATGGGCACGGGGAGGGTCGTGCATTAACCTTTAAGGCGCCACGAGCCATGTGAAAGGGGAGTGGGGAAGGAATAGACTCGGAGGAAAGAAGGATTTGGGAACCAGACAAAGCAATAGAGCGAGAGCGAGAGGGAAGGAAAGTTCAGGTAGATTTGAGGTGTGCTAATGTTAAAGACGGGAGCATGTTATGAGGCCGCCGGGGAACATGGGGTGGGAATACGCATGGAGTGGAGGTGGTCGCCGGTGTAGTGCCAGGATGGCTCCGGCGGGGACGATAAGATGAAGCAGGGTTGAGTCAGATCTGGAGGATGAAACTGTGCGGGCGGGGGGGAGAGCGGCACAGGCACAGATAGCAATGCCAGCAATAGAACATACCAGCGATGGGAAAATTAAAGTGGGTTGGGGACTGTAGAAGGGGGGGGGAATCGAAAAAATCCTACACGACCTCTCCCCCAACCCCGGATCCGATCTCTATTTCTAGGGACGGAGATATTACAGCGGGTGGCTCAAATCCAGGAGGAAAGGTTTCGGCAAGGACGGGGATCGAGTGCGTTCGCAGGATAAAAAGTAATTTAAAAAGAAAACCGGACAGCTAAGCAATAATTCTTCGCGGCGTGGGGAGGGGGGTGTCGTCGGTGCGACGCCAGGAATGTTTGGGTCCGGTCGGGAGAGTCGGACAGGCAGAAATGAAATTTTGTTTGGGGAGCGGGGAGGGAATATCAGGGAGAGAAAAGTCAGACGATCGGGGAGTGCGGAAGCAGGGGGAAAGGAGAAATTCGGGGGTAAAGCCACACACACACACGCTAAACAGAAAACCAACCGGATCGGGTCCCTTAATTCGGTGGAAAGAGGAAACTCTATGGGAAACGTTTTAGGAAGAAAGAGGGTCTAGCGCATCAATCCCTTGAAGAAACCCAGAATCCCAGGAATAGTTTTCCCATCGCAACCGCCAAACACTCTCCTAGAAGGAGAAGGAAGGAAAAAAGTCCAGCTCTCTCGGGGAAAAAAGAGGTACCCGGAGTAAATAACCCCGCATCAGATCGCGCCCCGCTTCGCCCCCGCATCAGCCTTACCCGACAAGGCAGCGTGCGCTCTCTCGCTCGATCTCTGGTCCTCTCCGCTCTGGCCAACCACGCGGCTCCCTTGTTTCGCTCCCTTGGGCTTGTGCGCGCCTCTTCCTGGATCCTCTGACTTATGAGAGGCGGGACCAAAGCGCGGGGGGAAAGAGGCGGGGGTTCCCTGCGCGACTGCCGCGTCAGCGACCATAAATGGAGATCCTGTCCACGTGGGACCTTCCAGCGTGCAGGGCGAGGGGTAGGAGGCTTAGGGAGGGGAGGGACACGTCACAGGGGGCGTGGCCGGCAGTGCTGCGGGGGGTGCTTCAATTTGTTAGGCGATGTACGGATCTCTGGATCAACATGACAATAGGAGGAAAGGGCGGGTGGGGAGAAGAAAGGGGTTCTTTCTAATTTGATTAATTTAATTTCTACACCGCCCTTATCTGAGGATCACAGGGCAGTTTGCAAAATAAAAACACAAAAATGCATGACAATAGTTACAAGCAAAACAATAACACCCCCCATGCAGTTTATATGTATACAGTGCTTTTTTCTGGGGGGACATAGGGGTATGCGTACCCCTAAACATTTTGTGAATCTTTGTCCATTTGTCCATTTACTGTATTTATTTTTCCCAATCTGAACTATAAAATAATTTTTCTCGAGTCAAAATGAGAGTACCCCTAAATATTTTTTAAGAAAAAAGCACTGTATGTATATAATATTTCCGTTTTATACCCAATTGCACATTCAAATGTATCCCTATCATGTTTTATGACTTCCCTTATATTGTATGTGAGCTGGAACTGGTCTGTGACCGAAATAATAAATTTATTATTATATAATATTCTTTATTGAAATATAAAAAGTACATAATCGCAAGTGCACAGAGTAAGGTAAGATGCAAAGAAGAAGGAAAAGAATAGCACCCATGTAGAAAAACAAAACAGAACTGGGAGGGGGAAAACTTGTACAGTATACATTTAAAAAATATGTGTTATTGTAGTTAACCAAACCTTAACCGATATATTTATAAAAATAATTTTATTATTTGAGATAATGATTTGATTGGTATCCAGCTGTCTCAGGACTACTAGTACAGTGGTACCTCGGCTTACGAACTTAATCCGTTCCGGAAGTCTGTTCTTAAACCAAAACCGTTCTTAAACCAAGGCGTGCTTTCCCTAATTCGGCCTTCCACCGTTTGATTTCCATTCTTAGACTGAGGTAAAATTCTCAAACCAAGACACTATTTCCAGTTTTGCGGAGTTGGTAAACCAAATCGTTCTTAAACCGGACTGTTCTTAAACCACGATACCGCTGTATTATAGATAAGGATCGAGGTGTGAATGTCAAGGCTTCAGGTTCCTGGAACAAACATTGCTGTACTTGGAAATGAGCATTAGTAGCAACAGGTACATTTTGTTTAGTGACCTTGTTTCCTTTATTACATTTATTTACACGTTGCTCTTCTCTCCCAGAGGATCCCAGGGCCGCAAACATATCTGCGATAAAATAATACAGCTGAAAAGAAGGGAAGCGTATTTTAAAACATGGGGAAGCCTCTAAAAATGATTTTAAAACAATAAACTTAGAGAAACAGGGAACAGATTTTAAATCAAATAGTGTGTCCAGGTTGAGCCTGCTTAGAAAGGTATTTGTACAGATGTCAACTGAGGCATGTGGTTTGGCTTTGTCAGATTATTTCTGGTCCGAAGTTGTTCCCTGCATCAATTTGGTATCGGTGAAAATCATTCCTATTTGCAGATGATCATGTACTGGTGGATGGTAGGGCAACAAAAGTGAACACTGCAAGTTCTTATGGCTGCAAGACAGATTTTATACTTGGACCATGGAGGAGAAACCCCCACTGCTTATTATGCAATGGTCTGAGGATCACACGGTTCTGGCTACAACCCATTTGAACATATTTCATTTGATTTTACGTCAATACCTATCTTATCAGGGCTTATATTTGTATGTTTGACTTAAGATGTATGGACTGACAACAGCTACCGCCTGCATCTGCTAATTTCCAGAGGAGGCACACCTTACTTGAAACACAGCTAGGCTATGGCTTTTCTAAACGGCCTCAGCCCAGTATACCTGAAAGAACGTTTCCACCCCCATCGTTCAGCCCGGACACTGAGGTCCAGCTCTGAGGGCCTTCTGGTGGCTCCCTCATGGTGAGAAGTTACAGGAAACCAGGCAGAGGGCTTTCTCGGTAGTGGCGCCTGCCCTATGGAACGCCCTCCCATCTGATGTCAAGGAAATAAACAACTATCTGACTTTTAGAAGGCATCTGAAGGCAGCCCTGTTTAGGGAAGTTTTTAATGTCTGATGTTTTATTGTGCTTTTAATTCTGTTGGGAGCCACCCAGAGTGGCTGGGGGAAACCCAGCCAGATGGGGAGGGTATAAACAATAAAATTATTATTATTTTCTCAATTTGGAGGGGAGATAGATCAAGATGGAATGTTTCGACAGGATGGACATGGGTTTGTGGCTAACGCCATGTGTACTCTCCTTCCCAAACCAGGAGTGGGAACATACTGGATGCAGAGTAAACAGGAGTGTGTACGCAGCCTGCGCAGAAGAAGAAAATAGCAAATGGTTTATGTGAAAAATGAATTCATTACAGCACAATCCTCTGTCTACTCAGAAGTAAACCCTACTGAATTCAATGGGGCTTACACTCAGGTAAATGGAGTTAGAGCGGCAGCCTTAGTTTACTGAGGTACCCTTGGACTCCTCCTTTGCCTCTTACCTAACACCTGTGTTTGCAAATATGTGTTCCTCACAGTCCTGCGTTACCTTTATGTTTCAGTTTCTGCGTTACTCTTTTTGCAACAAAGGGCTACAAAGCGTCCTGTGGCACTTTAAAGTTCTTTCTTTTTACCACCCCCACCAGCCCATGTGTAAAAATACCTGTAATTCGGAATAATGCTTCACGAATCCATAGTGCATGAAAACTTATGCCTCATTTATTTGGTTTTTTTTTTTAAAAAAATTAAGAATCTTTATTTGTTTTCAGTTTTTCTGAGAAGAAAATTAGAAATGGGAGCACAACAATTTTTTGCAGTTGACAAAGTAATGTATCCACCGATCAATGCAACTCTTGCTTTTTGTTATTATATAGGTTGTTACAAGAGTTGCCTAGTCCAAGACACCCTCTGCAGTCTCCCATCTTATTTAAGGAGCGTCAAAAGGATTCCATACCTGGCCGAAACAGTTTGGGTGCTATATTAACACCACGCATGTGCACATAAAGCTCTGAGAAACACTTAAGAAGTTATCATGTTCTTCTTTTCAATTTGACCCCATGCTTTATGTTAACTTCCACAATTAAGAGAAACCACACCAGGCTTCATGTGTTACGTACTTGTAATATAAGTTAGGTTTTGGGTTTTTTTAAGGTACCGCCAGAAGACCTTTTGCTGTTTTGGATATGTGTGGATAGCAAAGACCCCCTCCCAAGACCCACTGAAGAGGGATGGATGGAGTCTAGGGTGGGCCTATTACCCTTGGGGGCAAATGGGTCAGGAAGAAAAGGCCATACCCAACAATCAGTAATCTAATCAAGTGTCTTTGATTAGCTCAGGCGGATCTGCCAGATTATCTCCACTCGATCTGGGGAGGTGAAGATCCATCAGCTCTTGGAGCTCTATTCAGTGCAGAGTTGTTAATTGTGGCCCCAGGGACCACACTTTAAACTTATTCAATTCAGAATCTAAAATCACCCAAGTGCAATGCCGCTGATGAATACTGCCAATTTCAGCAGCCCATATTAACCAAGAGAAGGAAACTTTTTTAAAAAAAATGAAATAGCTTTGTTGGAAGAAGAAATGTTTCTTGTCACTTGAAAATTCCACACAGCTCCCTTCCAAACATCTGTAACTGCCTGTTTTTAGAGGCACCCAAGAAACAGGGTAGGGTGATAGTTCTGAATAGTTTAGAGTGAATTCAATTTCCTTCCTATAATAACTGCCCCAAGCCACCAGGGAAACATGATCTTTTCTGCCTTTTGCGAAGCAGGGATGGGGATCATGCCATGCTAAAGATGTTGCTGGACTACAGTTCCCATCATCCCTGCCTCCTGGTAATACTGGCTCGGACTGATGAGAGGTGGAGCTCAGCAACTTCTGGAGGGCCACAGATTCATCAGCCCTGAGAATGTAAGAGGAGCCTGCAGGATCAGACCAGTGGACCCTCTAGTCCAGCATCCTGTTATCACAGCAGCCAACCAGGTGCCTTTAGGAAACTTGAAGCAGAACCCAAGCGCTCCCTTCCTTCCTTCCTTCCTTCCTGTGGTTTCCATAAAATGATATTCAACACTTTGCTGTCTCCAGCTGTGGAAGCACAGCATAGCCGTTGCAGCTAGTAACCATGGCTAGCCTTGCCCACCATGAATTTGCCCAGTCCTCTTTTAAAGCCCCCAAGTTGGTGGCCATCACTGACTCCTGTGGCAGTGAGTTCCAAAGTTTAATTGCGTGAAGAAGAACTCTTTCTTTTATCTATTGCGAAGCTTCCTTGGATGTCCCCGAGTTCCAGTGTTATGTATGAGAGAGGAAGAAAAACTTCTCTCTCTCTGTTTTCTTCATGCCTAGTATAAACTTATATATCATGTCATCTCCTACTTGCTTTTTCTATAAACTAAAAAGTCCCAAATGCTGCAACCTTGGGGAAGCCATTCCATCCCCTCAATCATTTTGTCTGCCCTTTTCTGAACTTCCCCAAATATCCCTCTTGAGGCGAGGTGACCAGTTCAGTGGAGGTTAACCTGTGTCCATTCATTGCCAGACTACAACTCCCATTATCCCTACCATGCAGGCTGAAATTGATGGGAGTTCCAACAACATCTGGAGATGCACAGGTTTCCCACCCTTCTAGTAATTCCTAGAGCGGACTTTCCCAAACCTGGGTCTCTCCAGCAGTTTAGGGACTACAGTTCCCATCATCCCTGACCACTGGTCCTGCTTGCTAGGGATGATGGAAGCTGTAGTCCAAAAACAGCTGGAGACCCAAGTTTGGCAAACCCTGTCCTAGAGGAATGTATTAATTCCTGTGTTAGTAAATTCCTACTTTGCACTATTAGTTTGTTACTTGACTGTCTCTCGTGATGTGGAATACAGACGGCCTTTTGCAGGGATGGGGTGGAACCTGGGTGTTGAGGGAACGGAATCCTGAACAGGGAACAGGCCACATGGCAGGCAACATTTTGTTGCAGGACCAGCTCATAATCCTTGGCTTAATTTCCATTTAGAAAACTTCTTTTGGTTTCGCTGCAGCAGGCAGGTCCAGTCAGAAAGTGGGTCCATCTAGTCCACACTGCGTGGCAGTAGCTCTACAAGGTTTCAAGCCTTGTCAGGACTTGAACTTGGGACCTTCCACATGCAAAGCAGATGCCCTCTCACTGAGCTATACTGTAATACAGCTCTGTCCTTGTAGATTTTGTGTCTTCTAATCTCTCCATTTTCAGATTTGAGTGCCTTGCTCGCTTAGCAGGAAGGAGATATCAGTAGGCTTGGCACAACCCTATGCTCTGCAGAAATTTGGAGGGGGGGACCTCTTAATGGGGATGAGTGCGGGAGAAATGTCTAAAACAGCCCAGAGAGGACCCAATGTGCTTTTTCCTTTTGTTGTGACAGGCCCAGACAGGCTCAAACAAACAACAACAGACAGACAGACAGACAGACAGACAGATGCACGCTTTGGAGTTTTTGCTAGTCACCAGTCCACCCACACCGTCATTAAATGGAAGAGAGATTATCCTGAGTACAAATTGCAAAACTCATAACTTGTCCTTAGAAGTTCCAATGTGCGACCTGGATTATTATTATTCTTTTAATTGTGTCGTAATGGTGGTGTCATCATTGTACAGTCCTTACCAAGGCACAGCAAAAAGAAGCGGTTGGTAGAGGGGAAGGGAGGAATGTTCTGTGAAGTTCCTCCCAATTCACAGTTTGATGTCTGTAGCCCAGCGATAAATTGTCCTAAGGAGCAAACAGAGAGTTGATGCTTAGTTCAATGGCTGTTCCAAATACTTAAAACTAACATCTCTTAGCAGCTGCTTAAGAGATAAGATTAATCAAGGCTGCATTCTTATGTGGGAGAAAGTGCTATTGATCTCAAAAGGACCTTTAAATCTCAAAACAAAAAAATGTGTAGGATGTTTAGCCAGCCAAATTTAACCAGCAGAGCTACATGCATTACAGAGCACATTTTTATGTGTTTTTGGCAGCTCCCGAAGATGGGGAAAATATTTCGAAAGGACAACTTTCCCCTCTAACAATGGGAATTGGGTTGGTTAAACTTCCAGGGTTTAACAGATCAAACTATTTTTAAAAACCCAGCTCTTTTTGAGAGATGAGAAAAGTAACCTGAGGTTTCCAAATGCAAAAACGTAGGAATACAAAAGGCTTCTAAAAATAAAAATCTGTTGGGTGGAAAAAAAGCTGCTCTAAAATGCAAGGTTTCAAATATAATGTGACCAGGGATGGATGAAGACCTCTGTTCATCCCTAAGCGCATTCTTAAATTGTTTTAAGCATGTAAGGTTTCAAAGAGGTTAAAACTATGAATGGATGGATCTGTCTGAAAAACATTTATTTATTTATTTGCTTCAGAACTTTGATTCCACTGACCTGAAAATCAGGGGAGCAAAATTCTTTTTATTGAATGGCAAAGCAAGTGTAGCTGATGCTTGACAAATTGGCTACTATTGAGTTGTTTATCGCAGTAATATGCAATAAAATATATTTAATTAGAGTTGCAACTGTTTTGTTTATTAGCCAGCTGGAACTATCTTTTTTTAAAAAATATACCTGGCACTAAATATGTGGTGTTAGAATTTATTTGCTTATTTTTCGATCATAATTTTTAATATCAGTGCTTTTTTTCCTTAAAAAATGTTTAGGGGTACTCTCATTTTTCTACTCATATTGAAATACTGCCCCTCAATGAGGCCAAACTTAAACAAAATGTTTAGGGGTATGCGTACCCTCAGGGATAAAAAAGCACTGTTTAATATAACTTATTTACAACACACTTGAGATGGTGAGCACCATTCTTCCACTTGTGTCTGAGGAGGGAGGCAAACGCATCTTCTTTGGGTATGCCAACCTTATCTGGAAAAAATCAGGAATGATCTTTTCTCCCCCTTGAAAATGGGTGTTTCTCATATGCAGATTTGAGCAGATTTAATCAGTTCGTTGATCAATGGCCTTCCTATGCAGGTTTACTCTGTGGGGCTAACTCCCTGGTAAATGGGTGTAGTTTTGCAACCCTGAATTTATTTAGTCAGGTGACACCCTTAGATTTAATCAGTTAGTTGGTTTAAAAGGCAGGTTATTAAACAGATACTAGTTTTAATCAATTGACAAGCCACTGTGAGATTGGCCACTGAGCTGACCCTGCCAGCAATCTTCTTACACTCATTGTCCATCTTGTTTTCAGTATTGTCTACTTTTATAGAAGTTGCTCTCCAAAGACTGAAGCTTGGACAACTCTATGTGCAAAACACATCTTCTACCCCTGAGCTGAGGTTTTTCCAGGCAAGGAAACTGGTGCCTCAGTACTTTTCGTTTTTATATGTAAAATGAGGTGAACAGAATGCGAGATAAAATAAAGCAAGTCACTTTATTTTGGAATCCCAGCCCTCTGTGCAGGAAGAACTGCAACGAAACTCACATTGCTATCATAGTGGCCAGCGTTGAGAGCATGGCTATCCCCACGATGAGGAAGACAACGACCTTCTTGTGGAGGAAGTCTGGCCCAGAGAGAATCTCTTCCAAGGACGGCATCTCTGACTCGGTTAGGTTGGTCTGCACCTCCTCTCCCCATGTTTCGCCCGCAACCTCTACCATCGGCGGGGGGTTCAAGATGGCTTTGAACATCTCCTGCAACTCTTTCTCCAGATGAAGTCTCTTCTCCGTCACTGCAGAGGAGAGGGGAAAGTCCAAGCCACTTAGCCAAATCGCCATTGAAAGACCAACCTTGCTATATCTTATTGAATTTGAGAACATACGAGGAACTTTGCTGGGTCAGGCGAGTGGTCCAGCATCTTGCCCTTACAGTGGACAACCAGATACCTATAGGACATGCCCTGAGTGCAACAGTTCTCACCCTACTTGTGATTCACAACAGCTAGCATTCAGAAGCATTATTGCCTCAGACCATGAAGGCAGAATGCTGACATCGCGGCTGGTAACCATTGATGGGCTTCTCCCTCCACAACTTTGTCCATCCCCGACTCCTGTGGCAGGGAGTTCCACGGGTTAACGATGCACTGGATTTACCGCTTAGTCGTCAAAACCTCTAAGCGGTTTACGCAAAGTACAAAACACACATTAAGTTACCAATAAAATAATGAATTAGGGAAAAGGTTGGCCTTAAATGGCTAAATGGTTCTGTCATTGAAGATTCCTGTACAGTGGTACCTTGGGTTACATACGCTTCAGGTTACATACGCTTCAGGTTACAGACTCCGCTAACCCAGAAATAGTACCTCGGGTTAAGAACTTTGCTTCAGGATGAGAACAGAAATTGTGCTCCGGTGGCGCAGCAGCAGCAGGAGGCCCCATTAGCTAAAGTGGTGCTTCAGGTTAAGAACAGTTTCAGGTTAAGAATGGACCTCTGGAACGAATTAAGTACGTATCCTGAGGTACCACTGTATTGCAAGGGGTTGGACTAGATGGCCCTTGGGGTCCCTTTCCTAGAATTCGATGATTCTATGAAAAGAAAACCAGGAGTTAAAAATAAATAAATAAACAGTATGAAAACACACACATGCCAGATTTATATGTCTGGGTAGGCTTGCTTAAACACAATTTTTTTTAGCAGTCACTGAAAAGAAGACTGCAATAACACCTGCCTAATATAAATGAGCAGGGAGTACTAAAGCCATACTGAAGGATCAGTTTCTTGCAAGTGTGGAATCAACTTTACATGGCATTTGTCAAAAGGCTTTTTGTACCAATTTGACGTGGCAAATTCAACGTGTTGCTATTTAGTCCGTGGTTGCCAGGTTTTTAGGGAGAGAAACTCCTGTCTATTAAATAGTTGAGCAACAGGCAAAAACGCAATCAATTTTTTAAAAAGTCATTATTTTTTAATTATTTTTAAAGAAAGTCTGGTTTTCTGCCCCTAGCAACATCATGGCGCAGTGCTCAGGGCACAGGATCAAGAATGGGGAGAGCCAAATAAAAGGCTTTTTTGATGAGCAAACGCTTTTTGATGGAGCAATTCTGGTTGAAATCACCCACCTACACAAAAAGGAAAGGGGAGAGAGTCAGGCTCAAAAAAAACCCCCACTCAGGCATGAAACTCTTGCCAGATGACCTTGGAGCTCTCATTGCCTTTCAGCCTTATCCATTTCAGATAAAGGGCAGGATGAACCACATCCTGAAATCTTTGGAGGAAGGGCGGGTTACAAATGCGCAGGAAATAATCAAAAATCCCAAGCACACAGTGATGGGGAAAGCTTTACCTTCGTATATTATTGTATATTATTGCTGCGACATCATTTGCCTCCTGGCCCTATCCAGGTACAGTGGTACCTCGGGTTACAAACACCTTGGGTTACAGACACTTCGGGTTACAGACTCCGCTAACTCTGAAGTAATACCTCAGGTTAAGAACTTTACCTCAGGATGACAACAGAAATTGTACGGCAGCAGCGGGAGGCCCCATTAGCTAAAGTGGTGTCTCAGGTTAAGAATGGTTTCAGGTTGAGAACAGACCTCCAGAACGAATTAAGTTCGTAACCAGAGGTACCACTGTATAACCAAAGGTCACAGCCACTCCATGCATTGCTTGTTTGTTAATTCGCCCTTCACCTTGAGGTCCCAGGGCAGGTTAAAGCACAATATTTAAAGCAATTTTAAGCAACTTGCAGTCGCAGAAATAAGGTGGGTTAGGCCTCACCAGCCAAAAACAACTGGACTTTTCTGAGGAGCCTATTTGTGCCACAAGCCCCAACCCCTCACCGTTGAGGTAGAAGAACTTCCTGACCAGCACCCCGTCCTCCCCGGCGATCTGGCAGGCGAAAGTGCCATGGTGGGATCCCAGGGTGGGGCGGATAAGGAGGGAAGGATTGAACCCAAAGTTCAGGTCTTGGAAGAGGAAAACTTTGTTGGTTCTGATCTGCAGGTGGAGAAGTGGAAAGAGAAGAGGGGTGAGAGAAGGAAGGAAGGGAAATGTAGTGTTACAAGTCCTAGGCAGTAACCCGGAGCAGGGCCTTTACTGTGGCTGCCCCTGTGCTGTGGAATAACATCCCTGCTGAGATATGACAGGTGTCCACTATCAGTACTTTCTGGAAACAATCAAGGACATTTTTGTTCTGACAGCCTTTCCCAGATGGTTGAATGGGTCTCTCCTTGTTAGGATTTTGGACTCATTTTAAATATATTTGTTGTTTTCACATTTGTAGCTGCTTTTTATGTATCTTGCTTATGTAAATTGCTTTCAGACAGCGGTTTAGAGGATTCATGATAAATCGATGGTAACAACAATAAAGGGATAGGACAAAAATGACTCTGAATATGGTGTGCCTCTCATGCAGTCATGATTATGACTGTTTTTAATGACGTAAAGCAGCCATGCTGCGACTCTTCTCCCTCAGGTGTTTCCTCAGATTCTTACCTGGATGGAGGCGAATCCTGGTGGATCCTCTGAACACTTTTTTGCAACCAGGTGTGGAGAACCTTCTTGTCAAGGAGGAACTGCACACAGGAGAAACTGCATTCAGCTAACTTTTATTCCAAGAGGACCCGCTGTAAGTAATGGCCACGACCCAATGAGACCCGTTCATTCAAATGGGTCCAACTTTGAGTAAAAGTTAGTCGACTGCAACCCATAGTGTGTAGTTGCATGATTTTGCACCCACACTCAGCTCTCCTGAGGAATTTATTTTCCCAGGCAAACTAGCTGTAGGTGCCTGCAGATTGTCTAGTGTGGGGGCTGCTGAACCTTTTCCTTCCCAGCCATTTCTCTGTTCAAAATCACCCCCCCCAAATCTTAAGTGAATCTGTCTTTCTCCCCGGGTGATGGAATATAGGGGGACCTGTATAGATTATTTTCTCAAGGAGAAAACCTGGTGTGTGTGTGTGTCTTTTCAAGTGTGCAGTTCCACTTCAGGCACACAAATATTGCCCTTTCCCTTAGATCAGGAGCAGGGAACCTCAAGCCCGGGGGTAGGAGTGTGCGGGTCAAATACTACCCTTTGAGATTCTCTGTTTGGCTTCCAAAACTCGCCTCTCTACACCCTCCCTCTCCCCAGGCCACATCTGCTATTCCTGCATCGCATCCTCCCCAGCATTTTTTGCTCAGCTGGAATGTGTCCTTCAACTCCGATAATGCCTTTTGCTTTCCTGGATTAAAGAAAGGGAAGGGTGTTTGTAGGAACGAGCCTCCTGCACAAACACAAAATTTGCCTTTCTCGCTCTGTCCACATCTGCCTTTGTCCCCACCGACCAGTAGCTCCAGAAGCCTGCTCAGAAGTCAATGTGGACCTCCAGCTGGGGGAAAAAAGGTTTCTCATCCTTGCCGTAGCCTTTAAACTGCATTTTGAGAGCTTGTGATCGCTTGTGCAGATTACAGAATGTCCAAGGACTATCTGTGCAGGCTTGCAAGGCCACAGAAAAAGTACACCAATGTTCCTGTTCCCAGCAAGCAGGAAGCCAGGTGTCTTTGCAAGTAAACAGGGCCCCCTTGACCTTGACAGCGATGGCTTATTGTTGCTGCTTGCATCTAGGGATCACAGATGCATTGTCTCTAGAAATAGATGGTGGTTCTATGCAGGGCCAGGTTTAGGTTTGATGAGGCCCTAGGCCAGGGATCTGCAAACTTTTTCAGCAGGGGGCTGGTCCATTGTCCCTCGGACCTTGTGGGGGGGGGGCAGACTATATTTTTTGGGGGGAAATGAATGAATTCCTATGCCCCACAAATAACCCAGAGATGCATTTTAAATGAAAGGGCACATTCTACTCATGTAAAAACACGCTGATTCCTGGACAGTCCATGGGCTGGATTTAGGTGATTGGGCTGGATCCGGCCCCCGGGCCTTAGTTTGCCTACCCATGCCCTAAGCTACTGAAGGTAATGGGGCCCTTTATATGTCCAGCTGTCCTTTGTCAACAACAAATTGTCACTGTTTTTTGTGTTGAATATATGCTATATGGTAATTTATGGACCTAATAGGTATCTAAAGCCATTTGCACATAACAAATAGGAGCCTACACAACACAAAACACTGTCGCTGTATGTAGGTTTTATTTTATTTGTTTTTTGTCTTATATTTTGGAAATGTACATCCAGGTTTTTTCCTTTAAATTTTTTTGGGGGGCCTAAGCTATAGCTTGTTTAGCTTATATGTAAATCCGGCACTGGTTCTATGAAACGATACCAGACTTCTTGATCGGTTTCAGAGTCATTTTCAAGACTGTCTTGAGACCAGTCAGTTTCAGCTGCCAGGGGATGATCCTCTTTGCAGACTGAGCGCTATTCTGCTGTGTGAGTATATATATTATTGGGCTACTTACACATACACAAAAGCATTCTCACCCCTCCTCAGGAACACAGTCCTCCTTGCAGTGAGGGCTCCAAACTGTTAGACTTGCATTGGATTTCGTGTTATTTCCGTTGAATGACAATTTGCAGGACTACACCACAAATCAGTGGAGACACACTTGGAATTAAGGAAAGCCCTAAGCATGGCTTCATCAAAAACCTTGCTCAAAGCACCTTTGAACAAGGGACATCATGAGGAACATTTAATCTTCTGCTACCTCACAAGCAGGGGGTTTAGGGAGGAGGGCTCCATTTCAACCACGCAAGAGTCACTTACTTCCTTGACAAATTTCCATCGGAAAGTTGCGTCTTCAGGAATCTCAAACTTAACTCCGCAGCTGAGAAGTGTCACGTCCCCTTCAGATTTATGCACATCCTGAACTGGGAGGTTGGGAGATGAGGAATTGGGGAGCGGGGAGGAGAAAGAATCAAATTAATATATTTTTCAGCAGAGCTAGTCAGATTGGGGAAATCATTTCTCATCCTAGATGGTGCTCAGAGACATTGTGGCTTTGTACGCGCTATCCCTTTAAAGCACATTCAAAACATGTTGGGAACTGCCCTGAGATCTACAGACGAAGGTCAGTATACCAGTTTAAGACATCAATAATAGATAGTTTGCTCCTCATGGAGTTACAGTTACCAGCGGTCACAAACTACAGTGCCCAGAATTCTTCTGAGCAAAAGAACATATTTCAAATGTACTTTACACAGGTATGGAATCATCATAGAACCACCAAGTTGGAAGGGATCACCAAGGGTCCTCTAGTCCAACACCCCTGAAATGTACACAACCTAAGTCTCCTATTAAGCTGTGAGCCCAATTTGATGCACATCATTCACCAGGGCAATGTGGAACATAGGAAGCCCCCCTGAAACATCAAAGCTTTAGTCAGTGGCTCTTTAGGGGTTTCAGACAGGAGCCCCTCCCTATCCCGATCTGTAAATGCCAAAACAAAATAAAAAAATTCCTTCCAGTAGCACCTTAGAGACCAAATAAGTTTATTATTGGTATGAGCTTCCATGTGCATGCACGCTTCTTCAGATACCAGGGATTAAATGTCAGGGATTGAACCCACGATTTTTTGGTATGCAAAGCATGTGTCTTACCACTAAGCTATGGCCTTTCCTTATCCTTCCAACTCTACAATTCTACGATTCTCCCCTCCCACATCTCTGTGGTTTCCATAGCTCTCAGTGCAAGTTCCTTCTTGGTACGGTTGGCACAGAATCTTTCCACCACCTGGGCCAGCAAATATCCCTGACCCCGAAAATCAAGGAAGAACCAAGAGGGATGTACTCGGGCAATCGATGGGCAGTGAGCAGTCCACCATGGTGCAAGACGAGCATCGGTACTGGCGAGCCTCTTTCTGGAACCCTGGAGAAAGATGAAAGAGTGCGATGGGAATAGATGCAGAAGCCAGGGAGGGAAGCTGGAACGGAGGGGCAACGAGGATAGGCTAGGAAAGCGGTAGGTTTGGGCACTCACCACACGGTGGGATGCAGGCTGGAGCTGTACAGGAGGAGAGGAAATTGCATTATTTGTTTGCTTGTTTATTACATTTATATTACATTTTAAACTATTGTTGTTACAGTCATACCTCGGGTTACAGACGCTTCAGGTTGCGCGTTTTGGGCTTGCGCACAGCACCAAACCCGGAAGTACCAGAATGGGTTACTTCCGGGTTTCGGTGCTTGCGCATGCGCAGAAGTGTTAATCGCACATGCGCAGAAGCGCCGAATCACAACCTGCGTGTGCGCCGCGGGTTGTGAACGCTGCGGGTTGCAAACGTGCTTCCTGCATGGATCATGTTTGCAACCCGAGCGTCCACTGTATTATTATCCCACCTGTCATCCCATAAGTTCAACTGAGGTGTCGTCCATGCTTCTCTCCCCACCCCCATTTCATTCTCACAACAACCCTGTGAGGTAGGTTGAACCTGAGACAGTGACTGATCTGTGGTTGCCCCGTGGACTTCATGACTGAGTAGGGGACTTGATCTCCCTGATCTCCCAGGTCCTGGTTCAGCACACCACGCCAACTCTCATCTATTACCCATTTTTTAATTTATTTTTTATTGCAATTTTGCAGGCCACCTTGAGCTTTTGTATTGGATGAACGTATGGGTGGAGAATCTGTAGGCATCCAAACATAGCTGGGCTACAAATTCCCATCCTTCATGCTGGCTGGGGCTGGTTGGAGTTGGAGACCAACAACTTCTGGAGGGCCGTGGGTAAGTCAGCCTTCTTGTAGAAGAACCTATCAACACTGCTGGGTCAGAACAAAGGTCCATCTAGCCTTTGATTCTATTCAAACATTTACCACATGAAGAGGAGTCCAAATGCCCTCCCCTCAAGGGTCAACCCATTAAAAAGTCTTATTATATCACTCAGGCACCACTTCCTGCCTTTATCTATCTGGCTAAACCGCTTCTGGCTGCTTCAGCTCCGCCGCAGGGCAGGACCAGCCGAAATCACATCCCCACTTCTACCCCAGCAATCAACCAGATACTTCTGTGAAGCCTGTGCGCTGGACATGAAAACCTCTCCTGTTGTTTGCCTCAGAGCAATCATTATTCCATTGTACACAGTCTCAGAAACTTATGGGTCTATTCAGCCTTGTAATTAAGCACTAGCCTGGTAGTGGTAAGCAAGAATGAATTCCATGCAAGTGAGTGAGAAGGTGATGGAGGAGGAAAAGCAATGGAGTGTTCTGTTTTTCCTCTTGTCCAGTGTAAAAGCAAGTGGGTTGCCAGAAGGAAACTGTTGGATCAGGCCAATGGCCCACCTAGTCCAGCATCCTGTTCTGGCCAACCAGATGCCTATGGGAAGCTCACAAGCAGGATCTGAGTCAACAGTGCTCTCTGCACTTGTGATTTCCACCAATTGGTATTCATATATTGTCTCCAACACTGGAGGGAGAGCGTAGCTGGAGCCACTGATAGCCTTTAATCTCCATGAATTCATCGAATCCCCTTTTAAGATTGTCCAAGTAATATCAAAGCAACTCCAGCACCTTTCTCCATGCCTAGCATGGAAACGCAACAGGCTGGTGGAGCTGTCTGGCCATCCTCTGGTAAATATTTCCACAGGCTACTAACTTCTATGGGCTTGTTTACAAGCCTGATTTCGCTATCACATCTAATAGCCACAATAAAGGCTGAGACACCAGCAAAATATTGTGGGACTTACAAGAGGAGATCTACTTGCATTTTCCAGGAACATGATAATGCACCCAGCCAGACAAAACCTACGCTCAGTTAGTCGCGGATGCAAAGCTATCTCCAAGTTGGAGATAGAAAAGGAGATTGTGTGGTGGAGGGAACAACGTTTGCGGACTCCAAAGAGGGAACAGGCAGCTTTAAGACAGCACCTTTGCCCCGCGTCCAGTTATATCTCTACATTACCTGCTTTGAGCTGTGCCATCTCTTTTTCAACCTGCTTCTCAGCTTCTTTAACTGCCAGGGGATAAGGCACTATGAGGGCAGATGGAGAAGGGTGTCAAGTTATTCCTTTGGATGCAAAAGGCCATCTTGGCAATCAAAATAACCCCACAATTAATGGGTAGTTGTAATCGTGAGCTCATACTATACATGTTTCTATTCCCTTGCTTTGATACAGGCTAATTGGCTGGCTTTGATGCATCTGTGGGCTTGGGATGCTGGGCTCTGAGCCCAGAAAGGGAACTACCTGCAAGATTCGGGTTGTTTGCCACGTATGCCCTTATGGGAACAGCCGGCCCAAGTGACCTATGATGCCTTGTGTATAAAGAATGTATGATTGTTTGCACGGGACAAGCCATCGCCTTGCTGCAGTGTCCGTCTCACAGTCTGTAAAGGCTGGGATACCTGGCAGGCTGATTTGCTTTAAGTCTGCACCTTCTTTAATAAAGTACTGGAATTGATTGCTCTGATGTTTCTGACATCCCTGTACCCAATCACCCCCACAAACCCAACTTTGGGTCTGCGATTCAGAACAGTGCATCAGAAGTTTAGCAGACAACCAGAGTTTGCACTTTGGGCCTGTGGTTCAGAACAACTACAACTCCCTCCAGCCCCAGGCAGCATGGGTAATGGGAGCCGTAATCCAAAACCTATGGAGAATTCCGGACTGGAGAAGGTTGGGCAGCACTCTTTGGCCAATGCAGGATCCATTCTACTCTCCCTGTCCCTTAGAGCCAAGAAACTGGCCAATCTTACTGTAAATGGAAGTATCTTTCCTAAGCCCCACCACATATTTCCTTCCCTGAATGTTCAGCCTGGAAAAGAGGAGACTGAGAGGAGATATGATAGCCACCATCAAACATCTCAAGGGCTGTCCCATAGAAGAGGGAACAAGCCTGTTTCCTCCTACTCTGGAAGGTAGGACTCCAACCAAGGGCTTCAAGTTACAAGAAAGGAGATTCCGACGAAACATCAGGAAAATCTTTCTGATGGTAGGAGCTGTTCAGTGGTGGAACCGTCTCCCTCAGAAGGTTGTGGACTCTCCTTCCTTGGAAGCTTTTAAGCAGAGGTTGGATGGCCATCTGTCATTGATGTTTTAGCTAAGATTCCTGCATTGCAGGGAATTTAACCAAACAACCTTTAGGGTCCCTTCCACCTCTACAATTATATAATTTTATGATTTCAACGTCTAATCACCTTTCCTACCTTAAATATTCAGAATAATTTCTTGTTCTCCATACATGGGACAGGTGGGGTTTTTAAAAATGGCTTTTCTTTTCTTTTGTTAGGGTTGCAGCATTGCCACCGCTGACATATTTTGGGCGCTAAGGAAGGGCTTATCTCCCCTCCCCTCCCCACCCCCACCTGGCTTTTGATAGACTAAGATGGTGTTGTTTTGTTACCAGTGCACCACAACAAACCTTCCTGTGGCTGTTATGGGGTCTGCTTTGTTCTGTTTTTTTGGTATAATCATGCAATGTATTTATATTTATGTTTTAAATGTATTGTGCGTTTGTGGCCATCGCTGACTCCCGTGGGATAGTGAATTCCACAGTTTAGCTATGTGCTTTTACAGATAAAGAACTCTGGGAAAGGAGAGTAGGGACCTTGAAGTTGCCTAACAACAGCCAGCTTCCCAGCTCAAGGACTGAGCAGGCACATGGCTAACCTTTTCAGTTTCCCCTGCTATGGTGAGATGTGGTTGCATTTAAACAACAGCAATTCTTCCCAAAAGTTTATCTGTACACGTGAATTAGGTCCACATTTTAAGGCAGATTTATGTTCTCGTTTTTGGAGCTATGGAAATGGGCACCCAATGAAGCACAAACCAGAAGATTTCCCCCCTCTTTAGAACCACTGTTCTTTTCTGATATGCATATTTATGTAGCCTGAAATCAACTTAAAGATTAAGCAGCTGAGAATTATTCTACACCGTGCCTTTTTTTTTTCTTCTAAAAAAAATGTTTAGGGGTACTCTCATTTTCCTGCTCATGTTGAAATACTGCCCCTCAATGAGGCCAAAATTAGATTCACAAAATGTTTAGGGGTATTCATACCCCTGCGTCCCCCACAAAAAAAAGCACTGATTCTACAAAGTGACAGCCCTGGCTTATTTTCTGCCTTACCCTCTCCCTCACAGTGCCCTCGTGGAACCATTTATAACCCCAATTTGCTTTTTATATTGCAAAGTCTTTAAGAGACATGAACCCTTGAAAGCAATTATGGGTCCGATATTGTGCTGCCTTACCTGAGAGTAAGCCCCCATTGAAATCAGTAGGACATGCTCCCAAGTCCACGGGAGCTGAGGGCACACACAATTTTTTTAAAAGAGCAAGTTCTGTATTGACATGTAAATTTTAGACTTAACACTACAGGAAATTTATTGCGGAAGAAAAGTATATGTACTTGATCAGCCTTCCCCCAACCTAGTGCTGCCCAGATGTTTTAGACCAGTGGTGGCAAACCTCTGGATCCGGGGCCAAATGTAGACCTCTAGGTGCATTTGACCCTCAGAAGTCTCCCCTATCTGGCATTGCCTGGCTGTAATGTGTCATTTGACTTTGATAGTACGTTTTGCTTGCCTGGATTGAAGATAGAGAGGATGTGTTCGTGCTGAAGAAAGGTAAACATTGTATTAGTTGTTCTGCCTGCTTTTGCTTCTGGCCCTGCATATCACTAGGTCTCAGATGGTTGCGCAGAACAGAATACAGTCCTCACACTGAAAAAGGGTTCCCCATCCTTGTTTCATACTATCAAGCCCAAACAGCGCTGCCCAGCTGGGCTGGGAGTGGCAGTCCAAGACCCATCGGATGGGAGAATGCTGGATTCTGTGCAGAGATGGGGATGCTGTGGGACTATAAATCCCATCAGGCCTAGACAATGTGGCCAACGGTCAGGAGTGATGGGACCTGTGGTCCAACGAAGGTCCACAGGTTATCCAGTCCTGCACTAAAGCTAATTCAATGGTCACACAAAGAGAAAATAGGCTCTAGTTCAAGGAGGCTTCTGCCATCATCCACACGATAGCCTCTACCCCAATCCTGGGAACAATAGTTTGCTAAGGATGCTGAGAATGGTAGTGCTGTGAGAGGATGAACTACAGTTCCCAGGATTCTTGTTTGGACGGAGCTATGGTGCGGATGTGACCTTTAGGGCACGGTTGAATTCTATGTTCTACGTGCTGTGGGTGCTGTGGCATGGCTACTCTTCTAGAGGTAAAGAAAGGTAAAGGACCCCTGGACGTGGGGGGCACTGTGGTCTAAACCACTGAGCCTCTTGGGCTTGCCAATCAGAAGGCCGGTGGTTCAAATTCCTGTAACAGAGTGAGCTCCCATTGTTCTGTCCCAGCTCCTGCCAACCTAGCAGTTCGAAAGCATGCCAGTTCAAGTAGATAAATAGGTACCACTGTGACAGGAAGGTAAACGGTGTTTCCGTGTGCTGCTCTGGTTTCCATCACGGTGTTCTGTTGTGCCAGAAGCGGTTTAGCTATGCTGGCCACATGACACAGAAAGCTGTCTGTGGACAAACGCCAGCTCCCTCAGCCTGAAAGTGAGACGAGCGCCGCAGCCCCATAGTCGCTTTTGACTGGACTGGACGGTTGTCCAGGGGTCCTTTACCTTTACTCTTCTAGAACATTCCCACTAGCTTTTTAACAAAAAACCAGAAGCCTTCTTATTGGGAATTACAGGTACCAAGCTACCAAAGGACCAGAGAAGACTGTTCACATATGTGACAACACACACACGGATGCCACTAGCTCAGAGATGGAAGGAAGAAACAACCCCAGCCAGAGAAGAATGGCAAACCAAGTTGATGGACTATGCGGAAATGGCAAAATTAACTGGGGAGCTCAGAAATCAAGAGGGCAAGAGCTTTAAAAAAAGAATAGGAAGTTTACAATTTATTGACAAAACCATTGTAAGCAGGTTAAAAAATTAGCAGAATTTTAACCACACTGGTAAATTAACATAAAGTATGGATAATTTGGAAGGATAGAACTTGGATGGTATTGGTATGCAGTTGTAAATATTATTACTAGGACCCATGGAAGGGATGGGGGAAAGTCAGGAGATTCAGAGTAATCTCAATACTGTATTTGGATCTTGAATTTTGTTGTTGTTGTAGGTTTATATTTTTTAAAAAAATTAAATAAAAATATTTTTTAAAAATAAATAAAAAATAGAACATTCCCACTAGCAACCATGAGACCTTGGGAAAGCGTGGGTGATAAATCCAATTAAATATGCAGAGTTCTATACAGAAGATGGAAGAGTCTATACCCACCCTTCGCCATGCTTTTCTCCTCCAGGGAAAAGATCATTCTGCCAAATATGTCCTTCAGCTTCTCGATTTCGGATGCATCTTGGAAAGAAGATGATAGGGAGCTGTTGAAGGGCCTGGTCCCTTTCCCATTGTAGCTCCATTGGTAGAGCATGAGACTCTTAATCTCAGGGTCATGGGTTTAAGACTTAGGCTGGGCAAAATATTTCTGCATTGCAAGGGGTTGGACTAGATGACCCTTGTGGTCCCTTCCTACTCTACAAATTCTATGATTCCGGATAGGGCCGGAGCTCGGGAGCGTAGTGTGAGGATGGCGAATGGCATCTGCTATGTCAGGGAGCTGAACACAAGCTGGGGAACCAAGCAGAAAAATATCTCCAGGGCTACCTGTTCCCTTATGAACCTGCCAATCTGTTCAGATCTTCACCTGAAAGCTTTTCTCCAGATCAGCCCACCTTTGGAGGAGAAGCTGGTGGCCACCAGAGAAAGGGCCTTCTCTGTGGTGGCACCACAGTTGTGGCATTTCCTCCACATATTCCTTTGCCTGGCATCATCTACAATAGCCCAGTCACCTGGCCAAGTTGGTCACATTTGCCTATGCTTTCAGATAGCTATCCAAGAAACTTATATCAAGCTACCTTATATCGAGCCAGACCATTGTTCCATTTAGCTCAGTATCGCTGACACTGACTGGCAGCACTGGGATAACTGACAAGCTATGGCCCTGTCCGTTAAGATCCGCTTAACGTATTTCTGGCTGCGGACCTTCAGCGAAAATAGCTGAACCCCTGAAACTTCAAGCCAAACAACCGAGATTGGGGAATCCTATAAGCACCCATAAGCATGCACACTGAACATTGCACATGGCAGGTGGTATGTGCAACCACCTCCATTTTGGTCCAGTGCTCAATTGGACGGCACTCACCCACCTGGGTTTTGGCGAAACGCGCAAAGGCCCTTTCCATAATCGGTTGACAGTTCCCATGCTGGGAAACCCGGTGGCCAAAGAAGTGTTGGCAGACGCGGGCACGTTTTCGTTGGGTGGTGAAGCAGAGAAGGCAAGCTGTGGCCTGTGCAGAAAAGGCTAGCCAGAGGAGCAGGAAATGTATGGTAAGCATTATGCCCAGCCTTCTGAGTGGGGATAGGAAGCCGCTGGAGAAGAACCACACCCAAGAAAAGAACTCTCCAGTGATGTCATAAGGGAGGTCCACAGATCTGGTTGTGATTTCATGGCTCGCATGCAGAAGGGTAGCTGCAAGAGGGGACCACGGAGGGTCAAAGGTCTTTGCACCTAAAATATTGCATCACCCATTCATGTGTACCCAACCAACCACTGTGCTCTGCAGAAGGCTTCCTGCCAATGCCATCTCACCCAACACGTATAATGTAGGCAGTAGGCTTTTAGTGTGGTGGCATCTACCCTTTGCAATCATAAATTGTAGAGTTGGAAGGGACCCCGAGGGTCATCTAGTCCAACCCCCTGCCATGCAGGGATCTCGGCTAAAGCATCCATCACCTGCTAAAGACTTTTTTAAAAAATCCCTGTCCATTCATGTATTGGATCTAAAATTGTTTTATACATGTGTTTTTTCTTGTTGACAATATTGCTGTTAAATTGCTTCAGGGTGTTTCATGGGAAGTGATTCATCAATGAGAAGAGATAATATAAAATAAATAAACTACTCTGAAGTAAAAAACAAAACAAATCTAGGCACCTCAGAAGGTTCCTTATGCTGAATCAGACCATTAGTCCATCTTACGCAATTTTACCCACAATGACTTGTGTTTGAAATAGTTGCATTTCTCTGCATTCAGGCCATAGAATACATTCCTCTTTAAACTGCTGCACTGGCCTTTTGCTTTTTTCCACCGTCTGACTAGACTTCCTCTTCACAGAATCCTAGCATTGTAGAGTTGGAAGGGGTCCCGAGGGCCTTCTGGTCCAAACCCCTGCAATGCAGGAATCTCAACTAAATCATACAAGGCAGATGGCCATCCAACCATGTTCAGTTCTGGGCGCCACAGTTTAAGATGGATATCGACAAGCTGAGATGTGTGCAGAGGGTGACAGAGATGATCAAGGGTTTGGAAGGAATCAAGGGTTATGAGGTTGTGGGAGTTGGGTATGTTTAGCCTGGAGTTGGCTATGTTTAGCCTGGAAAAGAAGATTTTTAAAGAAGAAATATTTAAAGGGCTGTCACATGGAAGATAGAGCAAGCTTGTTTTCTTTTGCTCTGAAGGTGGACCCAAACCAATGGCTTCTCTGTATGCTTGTTGTTGTTTAAAAAATCAGCCTGAATTTAAAAGCAACTGTGCATTTATATGTGTGATTAAGTATGTATTTGTAAATTTATCATGTTTTTAATATTCTGTTGCGAGCTGCCCAGAGTGGCTGAGGAAACCCAGCCAGATGGGTGGGGTATAAATAATAAATTATTACTATTATTAATATTTTTTTCCTCTCAAAATGCACATTTTGATGTGTTTAAACTTTCAAAAACTGACTTGCAAACTTTGGAGAAGGGTAAACTCAGGTTGGTTGTTCAACTTCCCATCAACTGTTCTGAACCACAGGCCCAAAGGGAGGTTCGTGGGTGTGGCTGGGTGCAGATATACGAAAGAAGTAGGGCATGAATCCAAGGGTCGTGGGTTCGAGCCCCAAGTCGAGTGAAAGATTCTTGCATCGCAGGTGGTCGGGCTAGATGACCCTCATGTCCCCTTCCAACTCTATAATTCTATAAACACAAAGCGGCAAACAGCACTTTGGCCAGGGCTTCCCATCACTCCACCTGACCAGATGAGGCCTTGGATGGCAAATACCAAGTCTTACAGATAGTTCCACTTTCTGGGCTCAAAGCTCAGCACTCCAAGGCCACAGATAAGGATAGCATCAAAGCAAAGCCAATTAGCACACATCAAAGCAAGTGAATATAAACATATATAAGCTCAAGGTTACAAACAACTACCAATTAATTGTGGGGTTATTTTGACTGCCAAGATGGCGTTTGAAGAGCTACTGGAACAGTTTAACTTTCATGGGCATAGCTGGGGGGGGGTGCAGCTGCCTTCCCTAGATCCACAAATATTATTGAAAAGTATTGAAAGTACTCATTTATCTGAGGTTCTGCTCATAGCTGTCAACTTTCAGATTTGAAAATAAGGGATCAGCAGCTTCGAAAATAAGGGATCAGCAGACTCACCTGTCCTGGGGAGCCTCAAAAATAAGGGATCAGCAGCCTCACCTGTCCTGGGGACAGTCTACATGATATCTAACAATCCAGGATAGCAGCGGAAAGCAGTGGGAAACGGCCCTGGAATAAGGGAATTTCCCGCAAAAAAAGGGAAGGTTGACAGCTATGGTTTTGCTCCACCGCCCAGCAGAAGCCTATTTACGGGGCATTTTTACCTGTGATTTCCGAAGAAATGCTCAACAACTTCTTTGATTTATTAAAAAATCAAAAATTCTGGCAACGCCCATGTGTCACCTTTGGTTCAGCACATCCACACATTAAGCAGAGAGAGGTTGGCGGGGGGGGGGGGAGAGCTAAGGATCAGGTTGTCAATAACAAAGATCCCTCACCTAAAATGGCATCAGAGAGCCGAAGCCGGTTCAGCAAAGGGCAGCCAAAATTATCAAGGGGATAAAGAAAGGTAAGTTTTGGGACGTTTTAGAGGAAAGACAACAGGAGAGGCCATAGCTCAAGGGCAGAACATTGGCTTGGCATACAGAAGGTCCCAGGTTTAAACTCTGCTCTCTTCAGGCAGGGCTGGAGGCAGCCCAAGAGAAACCCCAGAGAGCTGCTGCCAGTCAGTGCAGACAATATAAAGCCAGCTAGACCACTGGTTTGACTTCGTATGTGATGGCTTCCTATATTCCTATGAGACATGATAACCACCATGGTTATGTTCCATCCATACCCTCCAACATTTCTCCGATGAAAATAGGGACGTCCCCTTCCATGATAATTTTACTGTTTATACCCCACACATCTTACTGGGGTGCCCCTAGCCACACTGGGAAGCTTCCAACATATATAAAAACATGATAAAACATTAAGAAACCTTCCCGATACATATCTCATGCTCTTAAAACAAGGTGCATCTTCGTTCTCCTTCTCTGTGCCTGAAACTTCCTTCCTCCCAGGTTATCTCTTCAAGTTATCTCTCTCAAATCCCTTCTCAAGATTCCTTGGGCTTAACAGTCTCCCCTCACACACTCTCTGCCAAGCAAAACAAAAGCCTGAGAATTTGGATACCACCCATTTGATCACACATTAGCCCTGGCAGCGCCGTTGTAAAAAAAACAAACCCAAAAAGCAAAACAAAAAAACCACAGAGAGGACTACAACTTCTATTTGCTAAGCAAGCGATAATATGCAAATGTGACCATTTATTTGCATGAAATTTGGCTGTATTTGTGACCTCTCAGTGCTCCGAGCATGGACTGTTTCACCTGCCAGATACTCGCAAGGTATTCCATGGGCATAACTAAGCATCTAGACCATGCGTAGGCAAACTAAGGCCCAGGGGCCGAATCCGGCCCAATCGCCTTTTAAATCTGGGCTGCAGATGGTCCAGGAATCAGCATGCTTGTACATGAGCAGAATGTGCCCTTTTATTTAAAATGCATCTCTGGGTTATTTGTGGGGCATGCCTGGTGTTTTTACATGTGTAGAATGTGTGCTTTTATTTAAAATGCATCTCTGGGTTATTTGTGGGGCATAGGAATTCATTCATTCCCCCACCCCCATATAGTCCAGCCCCCCACAAGGTCTGGGGGACCGTGGACTGGCCCCCTGCTGAAAATGTTTGCCAACCCCTGATCTAGACTCTTGGGAATCCTCGGGAAGTGTTGATCTGCATCATCATCATCACCATATCATCATTTCACCCATTTGACTAGGTTGCCCCAGTCACTCTGGGAAGCTTCCAACATATATAAAAACATAATGTATATGTAGCTTTGCAGCTTGGTTTCACATTTCTATAACCTGTTGCATTTGTTCTTTTTGGATAAGCAAAATCTTGCTTTCTCTTGGCTTTCCTATAGCCAGACATTTCTTTCATGACTATCAGTGGCTGGTGGCTCCTAGCTACCATGCACATCCGATATGCTTGAAAGAGGGCTGAAGAGAAACAACTGAGCGGTTGGACTTCAGCCAGCGAAGGTGACGGACGCCTTAAGCTTAAGGAAACCCCGAGGGCCTGGCATTTGTTTTGGGGAAGCAGGTGCTGCCCTACAGACTAGCCCCGTTTGGGTGTTTTGGGTCTGTGGAATCCCAGCGAGGTGCGCCCAGTATCTATTTTAGTCTTTTGGAGAAAAAGGTCAAGGATTTACCCTTATGCAATGGAACATTTCCTCTTTCCCCATCCTCACCAATCTCATCCAGAGGGTTGGGGAGACCCATAGAACAGATTTAGGGGTGCACAGGGGGTAAGTTCTGCTGTACAAGCATAAATCCTTGTTCTGACAGGACGTGTTAGTTGGAAACCATCCCTAACTTTTCATACTCTTAGGCAATTTTGCACGTATTTTTTTTTTAAATTGCCATTAAGACACTATGGGGACCCAGAATTGGATGGGCTGGACAATGGTTTTATTGTTCACGCACCTGTTCCCCGCAGGTACCTGTTCATTGTGGCCAACAGGACCCCTTGTCTTAAGCACGCTGGTAAAAGCACCAGACCATTTGCTGAAACAAAGACGCCGAGAGAGAATGACGACGACTCTCCCTGGCAAGACGGAAGGTGCCGCATTGTTGGCACCTTCTGTCTATACAGTTATTGCTTTTCTTGGCATCGTGACAGGCGGAAAAGGGGGGAGGCAGAGAGAGAGAATGTGGAAGAGTGGAAAGCCGTAATGGGAGAGAGGAGGGATCTGTAGGCCTCAGACCTCTGTCTCCATGGAAACCAGACAGCTCAGCTTGAAGCTGAGAATATGTCCTTTAAACAGGGAGGAGAGGGA